AGTCACAAAATCCACTGGTGGACTTAGTCGCTGTCATTCACTAAGAGGTTTAAAATGCATGTGGATGTATGACTTAGGTTTTTGCACACTGTCTGATAAATCCAGTGACAATGGGACAGGATGTGGTGTCTGTTATTCCAGCTTCTCTGCCCCCTGTTTTCAAAATACAGCCTGTAAATTAGCCCAGCTTGCCACCTAGCAAAGGTTAGACGAACTGTTTTTCAAGCCACGAGTAGTCATTTCAAACAGGAGCTTTCAGCAGGTAAAAGTCTGAAACAGCAGCTGCCAGACTGGAGGAGTCACGTTCTTCTGCACAGAGACAGCAGGACAAAGAAAGAGCAAAAACCAGGGTAAACATCTGCTTGGCTTTCTGAGATGGAGAGGGTTAAAAGCAGCCAAAGCTAAGTACTTGTTGTGCAGAATGGCCAATTTCCATATAGAGTATAATATAAACAGATTACATTGTGTAAGCATTACATTATAATGATGCAGCGGTTTAAATTACAACACTGTATAAAGTACTGATTTATATTTTGCAATATCTACACAGTAACTTTAACTTAAGTTGTCACATAAATGAGGTAAAAAGTACAATATTTAGCTCCAAAATGTACTAGAGAAGTATAAAGTTGCATAAAATGAAAATACCCAACTAAAGTACAAATACTTCAAAACTGTACTTAAGTAAATGTTTTTTATTTATTTATATTAACTATTAATAAACAGGTAGTTACATCTCTATAAAAGGCGCCTTATTACAAAGTTGCGCTCGTTGCTAATCTCAATAGTAGGAAGAGGTTTGGTATTTTAGATTTTTCCAATTTCAGTAGATGCCGAACATGTTTCCCAGCAGAACAAGCCCTACTGGCTATTTTGCTCTATAATTTATGAAGTCAACAAAGAGCATCAGTGTTGGAGGAAAACTGTGCTTCCCGTTTCAGATCAGTGATGTTTACTGCTAAAATGCAACCGTGCACCTTTGGGCTGAAAGTGCACTATTCACCACACATCCGAAACAGATGCAGAGACAACCTGTACACCATGCATGTGTGCATGCACGAGCACAAACCTCAGCCAGTAAGCACTCACGCTGCATTGCTGTGTAGCTACAGGCTTGACCTGCATCAAACTGGATCTCATCTCCAAGAAGGGAAAAAGCAGAGTGACCTCAGTCCAATCCAGCAAAATAAGCGAAGTTAAAAGCTTCCTGCTCTACAAACAGGCTTCAGTCAGTGTAAAATCCAATTAAAGAAGTGCACTCTCAATGGAAAACCCGTCTAAAAAACCTGCCCTTTTAGGAGTTTAAGGCTCTGATGGGCATCGCAGACAAAACCAAACACCTCTCTTCCTCATCTGACTGTATGAGCAGCCTCCTTAAAGGAGTTCTGGGTCTAGTTACAGAGACAGTGTGGCTGAGTTAAGGTGGTGAGCTGCTGTTCGTGACAGAGAAAGTCTCTCCTCCTTGCACACCACCCCCTCTGAAAACCGAGGAGGGAAAAAGAAGCTGAGGGAAAGTCCCAGTGACATCACCACCTACACCCACCCCTCATCCCTCTGCCGTGTTTCCCCTACAGCTTTCCATTTTTACCTCGTCCTCCTCTTCCAGACCTCCCTCCTGTCCTCTTCTGACATGGCTCCCCTGCCTTGATCACCCCTTGTACAACTCCAGTCTTTCCTCAATCTATCTAGTGTGCTAGGGGTGTGTGTGTGCCAGCTTGCATAATTACCACCAGCGTGGCAGTTTAGCAAACTTACTGTAGTCAACTCTTTATCAGGAACACATGGGCGGCTTTCTCCCTCTCCAACACACATTATGTAACTCATATTTTTTGCCATCCTTCTCTCTTCTAGCATCCTCCATTTCGTTCACTCTTTGACTACCCTCTTATTTAAATCCATTGCAGTCTGACAGTCGTCCCATTAATCGACTCCAATCTTCTGTTTGAGTCATTCTTCCTTGTTCTTCCTCCGCCCTCGCACTGTCATCTCTGTCATTGTCTCTTTCATTCACCCTTCCTTCCCTCATCTCCTCACTCACATCATCCACTATTCTGTTTCATCTTTTTCCTTAACATCCATTTGTCTGGGTTCCCCCTCCTTCCCCTCACTTTGTTTTGTCTTACATCCACCTCTCTCTGTATCCATCTCCCTTGCAAAGCATCAGGAAAAGTGTGGGCAGCTACAGGAGGCTCACAGGGCAGGTCTGCTCACACTCCTGCTTCGAAGGTTTCTTTTCCCTCTTGAACACAATAAACTTTGAGGACTTGGTTCTTTGGTTCGATTCGGGTTCGGGCACCACACTCTCGGGCACAGACAAAAATAAACAGCCAAATCCATATAGTCTGCCAAGCTTAAACTAGATTTTAATTTGTTGGGTCTGTTTCCTGTTAATAGGTACTCATCTACACTTGATCCTGAGCTTTAAGTGCTGCTCTCTTCTGTTGCATAGCACAGTTTTAAATAAGATTAGCAGCTGATCTGTGGTTGATGGGTGGATATTTGCAGTTTGTGGTCTGGATTGTATTACAAAACCGTAAAAGCCCAGAAGTTCCTGCCTACTGTACCTACAAAAATAGAAAAAAAAAAGCCATGACAAGCGACAGCAGCAGCGACGTGAAGAGAAGTCTTTTCCTTTTTTACCAAAACAGGAGATACAATCCTTAAAAAAAACAGAGAAGGCAGGGATCAGCCCAGAAGCACCATCAAGACATAAAACTGCCACAATGCCATAAATAAAGCACAGGCTTAGAAAAGCATCACTAGAAAGGTTATGACAGAGAAAGCAGATCAACGCAGACCTCCCAAAACGAGGAAAGTGGGGCTGAGATATTGGGTTTTAGAGCTTGGTGTATAAATTATAATAAGGATAATCACCTTTATTTGGCCAAGTATGTTATACACAAGGAATATGTTTCTGGTACAGAACCGAAGCAGCTACATCAGCACAGCATCTAATGAGAGGATATAAAATACTGCCGGTGCAGACACTGTTTAGGTCCTCACACAAACTGCACACCATTACACCTGGGGGTGAGTCATCAGGACGTACTGTCAAGCTAAAGGGGTAGCAATTAAAGTGTAAGACAACATTACCACATGCATTTTGAGATAATAAGCACGAAACAAGACAACGGTGCTTTTGTCTATGACAAGACACTGATGCTAAATCTTCAACTGTATCAACATTTGGAGTATAACCTGCTGCAGATACTGCAGCTTTTGCTTCCATTTGCAGCCATAATCCAGTGCTTATGCAGTAAAGCGTCGAGTGATGCCAATGTACAGACTATTAACGTTTATTAACGATTAACAACTATTAAGCTTTACCCACCTGTGTTTTGTTTATTGTCACTTCACTTGGATGCACTTCACTGTGCAGAATGATGCATTTTCACATTCATCTGCTGAAAAGGACAAAGTTTCTCGGCGCTCATGTTAAATCTGAACTAAAGACGTGAACAGAAGAGTCTGTGATACCACAGTTACTCTGAAGTCAGTCATTGTCCAATGTACAGCTTACACAAGTGTGATCTGCAAACTCCCAGTGCACTTACAAAATGAACTAGATGACCTCTTTCATCCAGCACTTTTACTTCTGAAACTAATTTGCATATTTATCAATTCTAGATTTTCTCAGTAGAGGATGGACTTTTAACAAGGTAAAGAAACTTCAAAAAATGTAATACAGAACAAAGACTGACTCATGGGTTGATATTTTCCCCACTGAACAAACTACACGTAAGCTGACAACGGGCCATTTTGTTTTGGTTTTTTTGGACAGTGGAAGTGACAGGACCTTTATGTCTATATTAATAAGATTCAGGAAAAGCTGATGCACCATCATGTAGTGATCAAGTCTGGATAGGAGACGAATCTTTTAATTTATTTAGGGTCATTGTTTGTTTGCATGTTGCAGGTTGACCACACAAAAAGCTACAAATACAAAGCTCGTCAGACACCGATTTCAGTGCCACAGTTGAATACGGCTGGTCTCGTGAACACGTGTAACGCTCGTTCTGGCAGTGAACCACAGTGTTGGAGCCGCACAGCTTTTAAGCAGAGGACTCTGCCGCCCTCTGTGGGAGTAAAGAAGAAACAATAACTGAAAAGGAAAGAGGGGGAAATCCGTCCATCCATTATCTACAACAATAATTGATCAAGAGGGGGCAGCCCCTGAGCAACAAAAATAGAAACCAAAGCTCTTTGAATAAAGCCATTAATAATGCAAGTACTTACTCCTGTTTCTGTTGTCAGCTGAACATTAACAATAAATACCACTTCTAATGCTGTCTTCTCATTAGAAACCTCGTGATGTGACACAAAGCATTTTGTAGTAACTCTGCACTGCCTTTGCCCACCACAAGATGGCAAAGCAACCATCACACCACATTCAGTTACCATGCCAAACTGTACACTCAGATAAATGATTGTCCATGAACACATCCAGTTTCCATCCTTCATTATCTAAAAATCACCTCACTGACCAACTCATGACCCCCTCCCCAAACGTTCCCATCTCCTTCACGTCAATTCAAGTTTTCAATCACTCTCACTGGACAGGGGATAATCAGACAGATGAAGCTGCTGAATCTCATTAACATATGAATAAACTTCAGTTTCAAGCTGAGCTAATGCTCCTTGGCAGTCTGCACCATTTCTCCTCCATCACCATCTAGCTCTCCAGGACTTGAAAGGCAAGAAGGCAATTTAACCAGCTTTAATTGGAGAAAAAAAAAAAAAAGACTAAATCAAACATTTTCTGAAAATAACTGCTAAACTAATTAAAACTTAACAGCGTGTGAGAGGCAAGATTCTAAAATCAAGCTACATAAACATTTATGCACTTAGCTCCTGTTTCTATCCTTTAACCTCTAGAGTCCTGAGCTTTGGAAACCCAAGCTGTGCGGTCCTCATATGAGGACGCAGGGACTCTAGAGGTTAAGGTGCATGTGTTATTACTTTTTCACAGCACTGTATGTGTCATGAAGTATGTTGAACAGCTTGACAATCAGCTGTAAATGGCTTGACACTACAAATGCATAATACTCACTTTACACGCCCATGCATCAACAGAAAATGCTCATCAATATGACAGATTTCATCTCTGTACATTAAAATGCAGGCACATTTAAGTCTTCAAATTAAAGCAGGGAGCAGGGATTAACTGCTCACATCAAGGCTAAAATGTCCCTCCCTGCTTCCCGTATGTCGTTTTTGACTTGGGATTTATGACAGGTACTGACACAAGGCTGACATTTGACAAAGAAGTTACTATGAGCGGGAGTGGCAGTAAACGCTGCTGCCCCATTAACTTTTATATTGTTACTGAGCACATCTGAGGTTTCCATTATAATGACAGAAATACTGGTTAATATGATTCATGTGACAGAGGTGTTACAGAAATGTGACCTGTGTTTACATAAAACTCAGATGAGCAACCTTTGTCGAGCTGTTCTGACACCAGCAGTTTGTTTTTAGCTGCAGTTTAATCATAATTAATCTGCAAACCGTTTTGATAATCAATCGTTTCCTGCATTTTTACAAGCATTTCAATGTAGAAAATGTGGATAGAAAATGTTTGATGGTTCTGGACTGTCGGTCTGACAAATCCAACAATCTGAGGACATGGCCCTGGGAAAAAATTACAACAAGCATTTTTTACTATTTTTTTTTTGATATTTTACAGCCAAAACCAAGAAAATAACCACAAATGAATTTAATAAGCATTAGTTGCAGCCCTAGATGAAGCACACACTGATGAGCACTTGTTATCCACCCTCTGCCCTTGTTATTGTGTTTATAACTTGAAACATGTTTGTCTGTGATCAGTTCTAAGCAGTATATTAACACTTTATGTAACTGTATAACTGTATCTGTAGCTTGTAATACTTTAGTGTTAAGTTCAAAACATTTCTGTTTCCAACATATCCATGGGAACAAGGGAAATACATTACATCAGAAAGAAAAATGCAAGGACGTGGAAAGACGAACAAATTTTTGACAGCATGATGTCTTGTGAGATATTATCAGTTTAATTAATGTACTGGTCAATCTACGTTCCGACTCTCACCTATAGTCATGAACTTTGGGTCATGACCGAAAGGGCAAGATCCCGGATACAGGCGGCCGAAATGAGCTTTCTCCGCAGGGCGGCGGGCGCACCCTTAGAGATAGGGTGAGGAGCTCGGTCACCCGGGGGGAGCTCAGAGTAGAACCGCTGCTCCTCCACATCGAGAGGAGCCAGCTGAGGTGGCTCGGGCATCTGTTTCGGATGCCTCCTGGGCGCCTCCCCCGGAGGAGCTGGAGGAAGTGTCTGGAGAGAGGGAAGTCTGGGCATCTTTGCTTAGACTGCTGCCCCCGCGACCCGGTCCCAGATAAGCGGAGGAAAATGGATGGATGGATGGATGGATTAATGTAGTTGTTTACAAAGTGCTTCATCGGGATTTGGAGAAATAACTCTTAATAATAAGCATTTTACCTATTAATTATTAAGACAATGGGACAGAAAAAAAAGCAGTCAATGCCTCCCTCTCTGAGCCTCATACTTCCACCCACCTGGGTGACGCGCATACGTTAGTGCCACCTGGCCTCTGTTTCCTGTCATGACAGCTTGGTCCAGACAGGTAGCCAGGCAGGAATTCCTGAAGCTCCTTCCTGTGATCAGCTCAGCCACAGCTCTTTACTGTGTGACCCACTCATCTGACAGCAGCTCTGTTAAAACCTTCAGAAGCGATAAATATTTCCCTCGCTGGCCAAAAAGGTTAAACACAAGAATGAAAGAATTTTGATTAAATAATCTCGGGGGTGTCCTGGTAAGACACATAATGCATGAATGGTTAGATTTCACACCCTTCCTTGTCTCCACATGATTCCTGTTTGTGACCAACATGTCCTACAACCCTTATGCCTTGCTGCAGGTTTGGACAAAAGAATAAATGTAAAATGATTTTCTTTACAGCCATCTTGGCAACCACCTACAGCACACTGTCCATTAACCTGCCAGAAACACTCTCCTGCATTTGGAAAAAAGTGGCTGCAGAAGCAGAGCCACACAGAAGAGAGGGGTGATAATTGACCATATGATGTAATGTCTCTCACCTCAGCACCATGGAGCAGATTCCTTTTCCTGAGGGCAGGGGAGGGTTCAGCTGATCGCAGAGGAGTCAGACCTCCGTTCTCCAACTGCTCCCCTGACGGTGACTTTGGTACTGTCCACACAGGAGCACCATCTGAAAAATGACAAAGCAAAGTCAGAGGAGTGAGATGGAGATGCTTGGGATTTATGATACAAGTATATGACATATCATGGCAGAAATCAAAAAGGACTAGGGGGGAAACTCATGTCACCCTCTATATATCCTATTTCTGAAATCCCCATAAATTCTACTGAACTACGGCTGTGCAATACACACCAGGAAACTGTGTTTGTGCCTGTATGTGTGTTTACACTGAATGTTTATTCATTGTTATATCCTTCCCTGTTACAGTGTATTGGCCTGACTCAGGTCACTGGCTCGAATACTGATTCATTTTGACTCCAGGCTGCAAACAGTGTTTTAAAGAAATCTACATCCTGTACACACTAATACTGCAAACAAGCCTCAAAACAACCGAACAAGTTATCGCAGTTGCATAGGCACTGAAAATCAATGCATCACCTGAAAGTATTCAATTTCTACTCAACATTCACCCACAGGGAATGAACCATCAGCGGTGATGAATCAGCCTAATCGTCTTTTTTGAGGCCACAGTTTGCAGTAATCTCTTTAAATGGCTTTCAGTCAACACTGAGGTGGACATGTGAAACCTGTTCCTCTCTGCACGTTTTTTTATATGTCATGATTTTTAAGACTTTGCCTCTTTCCACATTACCAAAGCTTGTGAGCGATTCACCAAGAGTACACAGCCACACTAGCAGTTCTGTCAGGCCCCGCTTGGTTTGAACTAAAAGTTAACGTGAGTTCACAATACCAACGCGGCAATCCATCAAGACGATGTTAAAATAATCTACAGGATAAGTGAAAACCTGCTGGTGGCACTGAGGAAAAGTCAGGGGATCACCAAGGCCGGAGGGATTTATCCCCTGGGGACCATGAATGTCTGTGTAATCCATCCAACAGGAGTTGAGATTTTTTAGTCTGGTCCACAGCAGTGAACCGACCCACCAGACACCAAACAGGCTGTCGCTACCACTAGAACTGCTGTGACTGCAGGTCAAAAAGCAGCTACGCAAGTTGAGTTACACAATGCTACCTTGAAAACAAGTGTGAGAAATGTGACAGGCCATATGATTTGTCTAACAAAGCCTGGGCAACAACTCAGTATTATTTATTAACTTTCGTTGGTTTTTGCATTGAGAAGATAAGAACATACATTATTGTCCAACATCAATTTGACCATCTCACATGTGACTTTGCATAGTTGCCATACTGTGATATATAAATATTTTTTCATACTGATTTTAATCACATCACTTCTAAGTTACAAAATGTAATGCGGCAAAGTCTCCAAAATCATGACAACTCACGCCAATCACAGGAAATTTGCATTACTCAAAAGGAAAAGTGGTTACAACACTGACTAATTGCTCTAAACAGGATATTTCCTAAACCGCATGCCAACCTACAAAAACAGACAAATCCATGCATCTCCTGTATGAACAAATGCTTCACAAACTGAAATGTGCAACTGTCAAAAAAAAACTAAAACCAAGCTGCAAATTTCCTCATGTAAAAGCCTGTTATACACATCGCAGTAGTAGATCCTCTTTCAAAGTACTATAAAGGGAGCAGTACCAGAGGCCCCTCTAATCTCCAGTTTCAACATTCAAATTGGGTTAATAGCGTAATGCACCAAGAGGCTGTTCTTTGATATCCATTAGTGAGAAGCAAACTGTGCTGACACAGGTCGGCCTGCTGCTGAGCCCGAGGCGAGTTGGCCTTGACAAAATGTGCCAAAATAGTCTTCAGGCGAGTTCTCTACTGTGGTCGACTGACAGCTTGACTGACAGGAAACTGAAAAAGTGTTAGTGAACCCCTTTTAATGATACCTCACGTCTGTACAGTGGAGACATGAGCGAGGGTGGCTCTTCCCAAAGAGCTGTAAACTGAATGTTTGTTTTTTTGTTATTTTTGAAAAGGTTATTCAGGACATTTGGAACCAAATGGGTTTCTAAGAGTTCATTTCAAGGCAGAGTTAAACGGGGAAAATTTCTGTAAAGAGCTAATGTGTTTTTGCAGGTAATAATGGTTTTTCACATTTTATGAAATGTGCTTTGATACTTTTGTCGAGATGTCACAATGAAGCACAGGAAGCAGAAGTGCTTGGTGTGCAGGGAGGATGTCTGGGCCAACAGACCGAGGCATGCAGGGGAAATAAAAACATGAGACATACATCTAACAGTAGAGAACCAAACGTTCATGCAGTAGATGTTTCCAATGGCTTTACCTCCCACTTCTGGGCTGTGACATCAGCGCTTGTGAAGTCTTCATAACCACCTCTCATCCCTGCACGTTCCTGTCACCACTCAACTCCATTTTTATGAGTTAGTGTTGTGCTTCTTCTTTAAATGCTTTGCTAAGCAACAAGAGGACTAGTTTGCAATGTATTGTAAATGTCCTTTATGGAGTTCCACTTCCTTAAAGGAAAATGTTCTGCATGTGAGGGTGAATTAGGGCTTCAAGCTCTTTGTGACAGTGACAGAGGGGAGGGAAGGTGGGATTCAGGAAGAGCTACGGCGAGCAGCAAAGATCCTCCATGACATCAGGGCATTAATATGCCATTTGTTTTTGCTTTTCTTTTTTGTGGAAGTTTATAAAGATCCTTTAAGTTCCTGAACTCTTTGCCCTTCCTAAAGCAGACTCAAAAAAGCTGCTCTGGTTTAGCAGTCACACGAGCCCAGAGGAACCAATGTGCCAGCCAAACTCAGTTCTACCTCATGCTTAGCTCTCTACCAAAGAGTTATCTTTCCCATGCAGTGGCAAAGCTTTTCTCTGTGGGCGTAACAAAGCCAATCACCCAACAGACTGACCAGCCAGCCAGTCCCTTTTTCAGGTGCAATAAATCCAGATGCTGCCCATGCCGGTGAGCCACGCAACCCATCACTTGGCAACACCAAGAATCCTAACAAAAAAATCCCCCAATGAGGTGTGGGGGGGTGCATGTCTGGAGCGGGGAGCAGCTGAACACCCACAGGTCTTATCAGCCAGGCAGCGGAAGGAAAGAGGTTTGTACTTGCGGCCTGGCGGTCCCACTCCACACCACCCCCTGTCTGATGAACAGGTACAGGGCAGGGTGACTGCTGGTGCAAAAAGAAGACCAACATTCTGTGAGGACTGGCAGGCTCAGGGTGGGATCTAGCACCCACCCAAAACCAGACTCCAAAACACCTTCTCAAAGTCCTAAGGTGAAGGTGGACCACAACTTCCCGGCTTTAACATAAATGTGCACCTGTAGGGCTTTAAAAATAACTCGACTTTAACTTCATAACTCCGAGTAGAGCAGCTGCCGTCAGTTTGGATTCACAGCAGTTACCATGGATTCCAAGGAGAACCGAGATGTCACAACAAAAAAGGGTCAAAATAATCCATGCACTTTCTGCTGCTTATCACAGTTCAGGTCGCACTGGCAGCAGGTTAACCAACGTAGTCCCAGGTCCTTCTCCCCACCCACGTCCTCCAGCTCTTCCTGGGGGTTCATAAGGCACTTCATAAGTTCATAAGTTCACAAGCCAGTTCCCTTCAGCATGTCCTCGGCCTGCCCCAGGTTCTCCTCTCTTGGACGTGCCTGGGAGGTATTCAGTTCACATGCCTCAACCACCTCAAGTGACTCGTTCCAATAAGAATGTGCAGCAGTTCTACTCTGAGTTCCTTGCAGATGTTTGAACTCCTGAACTCATCTCTAAGGGTGTGTTCAGACAGAAAGCAGAAAGGAATTTTAGAGTGCAAATGGCAGTAGTGTGACACAAAAGTAGCACATGTAGTGCTTTAGTACCATCTGCATTCCCATGAAAGTTCTGCAACAGCTATTACTGTAAATTGACCTTGAGGTGAGATGATTCTGTCAAAAAGCAAAGAAGTGGATTACACATGGACACATCTTTATGCCTCCATGCCGGCGATAGCCATGGCCAGAGGCATCATGTTTCCAGGTTGTCTGTCTGTCCATCCATCTCAGGAAGGCCTTAAAGGAATTTCTTCAGATTTGGTGTCCACTTGGACTCAAGGTTGAACTGATTAGATTTTGGTGATTGAGGGTTAAAGGTCAAGGTCAGTGACCTCACTAGTTTGCCTTAACCTCTTGGTGACCATTTGGATCCACTGTAACTGCTAAAAAAATTCAGATAACGCCACCTTCCAAATCCACAAGCAGTGAGTGTTTGGTACTCAGCAGATTTTCCAGGGGCATGTTACTTTAAACCAGCTCCACTCCTCTTATGGTGCCACCGATCTATAGCATCCTGGATACTGGAAATAGATTACAAACATTCCTCTGCACTTGGGAAAATAGGATTAGTCTAAAACATTTGATGAATTTCACATGATCTGAACCCTTAACCTTCTTCTGGGGTTTACCTTCCACCTTTATGAACTATTCATTGGTGTTACGCCAATAGAACCACCCTCAGGCTTCAAATGGTTTAAAGCGAAACAGTTTTATTGGATCCATGGTGATGTGGCACAGAGAGGGCTAAACAATGCAGAGGGCTAACACTTTAGGCACCAGTATGGATTGCTTTGGCACAGATTTAATCCTCCGAGGAGATTTAGGAGTCCCCTATATTCATATTTAGGTTTCACTCATTCATACATAAACCCTGATTTTTTTCTGACATGCGTGTAAGGAGACAGTCTGAAATGCTACCAAGAATTCTGTAAACAATACTGATGATAAATTCATGCTCATACATGCTTTACATTCATACTTGTACTTGGCACTACCGTTTTGAGAAACTACTGGCATTTCAATGCAACTCACGACACTGAAGAGAGACAGTACTGAACAGAAAACAACAAAGAACACAAGACAAAAACATGAATGGAACAGAATAAATACCATTTTAACACACAAACGAAACACTCAACAGCATTTGCTACACACACTGAAGTTCATGGTACCATTCTGGCACAGACAGGAGCCACACTCCACCTGCCCCAGCTGGCCTCCAACAATGGTGCTGAGCTTTGGAGGAGGGGACTGGAAAGACAGGGAGGATGGAGAAGATGGAAGGACCGAGGTTTCCAGTAGCAGCACTGGACTGGGTCCAGGGGTGGACTCACCAGAGGGGGCTCCATGGGTGGAGCGGTAGCGCTGTGAGGCCTGGGAGTGCGGCGGCGCCTGGCTGTGGCTCTGTTGGAGGATGTTCAAGCACTCTCCCAGGCAGCTGAGGGTGGCGGCTGACGTGGCTTTGAGCAGCAGCAGGTCCTGGTCCAGGCAGGAGAGGGGGCCTCTGGTGGGTAGAGAGTCAATGGACTGGACCAGGTTCTTCTGCTGGCCCTCTGCTTGGGACATCACCTGGAGACAACCATGATGTACAGCATTAAAATACAAGTCAACAGCTACATTACTCAAATTACCAGTGAGACACTCGTATATATTGCTTACTCACAGGTAGCAGCATAGCCACAGATGTACAGTATACAGTATTAGATGAGGCCCGGAGCCCTGTAACTGCACCTCTCACTAGCCCTACCAGATTAATACACGGTATTTCACAATGCAAGATTAACAACCATTCTGGTCACTGGATGCCTGGGAAATTAAATATAACAGCACTATCCTTTTAGCTCCCACAGTACACTGGCAGAAGAAACACTCAACATGTTCCTTCATTGCAATGAACATGGCATTGTGGTATATTTTCAGTCAATCTGTCTTGTTGTACACACTCATTAGTACTCAAAATGTGTGCTAATCGGCAACTGTAAGCAGTCTGCAACAAATGCACAGTTTACTCCTGTTTGAATCAAGTCTGCTAAAAACATTCAGCCTCTTTAAATGATCAAACTATAGCTCTGTGACTGTTTCGGGCTGAGAGCAACAGAGATGGCGAGGACGCCAGGAAAGTGCCGCGAGAGTGACACATTGTTCATTTTCATCCTTTCAGATGATTTGTTCACAATATAAAAACACAGAAAAGCTCCCGCTTCATCCTTCAATATCTAATGAATTGCAGACCTAACCAAGCCAGTGAGCAAATAAAAAGTTCTTTAACCAATTTTATGTTGAGCAGGTAGGTAGATAGTTTACAGACTTGATTATATCAGTATAAGAAACTTAAAATGTGGGTGTCTAATATGTAATGAAGGTGATATTTCTAAATTACCTCAAATATATCACTGGTATTTCTGTATCAAATTTCATGTCCTTTATCAGCTAGCAGCCAGTTTATTCGGGATAAGCTAACATTCGACTGACACAGTATATTGGTCTAGCTATATTAGAAGGCTCACTTGTTTTAGAACTTAAGTTTGGAAAAGTTACATAACTTGTGCTGTTCAGCCTCCACCTTCACCATCATGTGTGCTATGACATCAAATCCTTAAAAATAGGATTAGACCACTAAGAACACAGATGTTTTAAAGCTGGTTTCTGTCATCAAGTTTTTCTCAAGCTGTTTTTTGCACAATCAAACACAATATCTCTGAATGTTAGCATATCATTTGTTCATCAACACAACAAATATGAACATGACACTCCCGCCATCTTTACATTTACAGTTTTACTTGTGTGTAGGAGGCTATACAATTAAGTATCAACCTGAATGGCGTCACCTCAGTGTTGACTCAGTACCAGTGACAGTACCAAAAATAGAAACTGCTAAAACTCTTCCAAAAAAAAAAAAGAAAAAAAAAAAAAAGATATCTTCTTCCCCATGCTCCCACTGACACATGAACATTTCTTACTTGAAAAGTTATTTCTGTATGATGCACCTATCAAAATCTAACCCCTGTATCAAAAAACAGAAGAAGACGACGTTGGTTCTTGCTAGCAGGTAATAAGCATCTTTCAGGGCTAATGAATCTGAGTTGTTTACCAGCCTGGAAACGCTGTATTCATTAATATTGTATCGCTTCACAAACACTCATCCTACACTTCAGTAACACATCTGTCTCCCTGCATCAGTGCACAGAGCTATTCTGGAGTTACTGAAAGCTGTTGCTGTGGGGCACAGACAGTCATGAGAAGTAATTTCTTAAATAAAAAAAAAGCACAGAAACATGTCCAATTATTCAGCTATTTACTCAGGTTGGATGTTGAAAGCCTCGGGCACATGTTTGTTATACAGATTGTCACTGTGCAGCCTGTTGACATCTTATTCTCACAGTACACCTCAAATAATCACGACTTGCCATTTCATTTCACGAAGGTTTTTCATTATTTAAAGCTAAAACCCTCAAGACAGATGTTTCTGTATCCCATTGGTGATGGATGTAATTCTGCTGCACCTTCACAAAGGGCCGGACGTTTAGGGCCTTTCTATGTTATCCTGGGACTTTATGTCAGGATATCATAATGAACAATTCTCATAATCAATCAAATTGGTGAGTTAAATCTGACCAATCTCATAGATATGTTCAAGGTCAATTGTATAAATAACACATCTTTTAATATATTCCAACACAAATCATAACTAACTAATATACAGTACTGTGCAAAAGTCTTAGGCCACCATTAGATTTGTTGTTTTGTCAATGCTATGATGACTATATATAATTATTTATCAGAATACAATTAGAAATATAGGAAATATGCATTGGAAAACTAATCTTGAGTTTTGAAATAATGCTGGTGATGTTTCTTTGTTTGGTTTATAAGCAGGCGATATTGTTAGACATGAACATAAAAGGAAAAGAAAATTGCTGCACAGCTTTTCTAAGTTACAGTACGTCTGCAGCCCCCACCACCACTACCACCACACACAGCTCTCTGGAGGCGGCAGCAGCGCCAGGGCTGCTTCCAGAAATAGCCTAACCCCAATGATCCAGCTCTGCTGCGGCTGTGTAGGTGCCCAGTTGTGCTGCCGCATCGAGAGTCAAGGCGTTTGATGAGTTCACATCAGCCGACTGTGACAAGCAGGCTGAGCAGAGACTGATGTGGTCCGACTCTCACCGTCACACATTCAGTGAACAGACAGACGCGTACATGGGCGGACAGATAAAAGGTGACACCGTGACGATGGCCTAATCATTCAACACAAGACCTCACTCTTACAAAGAATTGGACTCAACCCTTCCAGCAAAATAAGGAACTTTTTTTTTTGCCTCCAGTGGGACTAAAAGATGTTTTAAAACAACAAAAATGTTTTAATTGTGCTTTGAAGTTATGCCTACCTAAAAATATACATTAAAATCAATGCCTAAATGGGAATGCATGAAAGAAAGCTGGTGAATGTAATAAACAGACTCTTAAGATCTTTTTGTACCACTGCCATTAACACACCTAGAAAACAACAATCATGTATTGGCTGAGCCACCCCCCTTGTGCTGCAGCTGCTGCTGCGCTCACACTGTATCCTTGAGCCTCCTGCCTTGTGTGTGAATGGTTCAATAAGTGCTGGTGGGACAGCAGGACAGAGATGAGGAGGCAGCTCATGTGGAGATTCACAGAGATGCAAAGACCACTTTCCTTCCTTTCTGTGACAGCTGTGTGCAGAGCGGGCCGGGGGTCTTACTGGGAGTAATGGTGTGGTATTTATATTATTATTATCAGTGACAGTGACCAGAAAATGAATGGGATGTACAACACAACATCACCGATGCTGCTGTTTGACCATAAATCCAGCGGTAATCAGCATGAAGCATCTTTCTGGTCTCTACAGTGGTGCATAAATCACAGCGCTAACAGACTCCTTTACTGCCGGACCCATCAGACAAGTTTATGGGGCAGTTATGAATAAAAGAAGGTGAACAACAAATGACAGGGGGGAGGAGAGAAGGCAGCTGGAGACTGAGGGGGGGAATACTAGACAGGAGAGTGATGAAGAGGGGGTAAATGACAACCGACATGGATCAGGTCACAGGAAGCAGCAGCACAATTCTTCTGAACCAAAGCTATGTGAAGCCAAACAAAAAAATGAATCAGCCATTACAAAGGGGCCTTGTTGTCGCCGTCTGTGGAGAAAACACAAGTGCCAGAGGAGTGTTTGTTTTGCTTAATGATCACACACCACCTGCTCCGAATTCACTCAACTGTCCCAGGTTCGCTTGGGGAGACAGACACCGCTCCTGAGAAGTGAGAAATTATTCTCCACTCACACCGATCGCTAGCCGCTCTCTCGGTCCCCAAATGAAGCATTTAAACGAGATATTCTTGGGGAGATGAGGCAGGCACACTATGCGATGCATCTGGATGGTGAATTTAACAACCTGAAGTGAGGAAGAAATGCATGAAATAAAAAGCTTGGCATGAAATATTGATGCACCTCCCAGAGTGACATCAGAATCACAGGCAGAGGAGCTGTAGAGGTAAATGTCAAATTTTTGATACACTATTTAGCTAATGGTTCGGTAGACTACTCCCTACCAGTTCTGTTTAAGGAAATGAGACTGGGGCAATACAAGGTGCTTAGATTCTACTGTGAGGTTTTAATTAAATGACAGGTTATTAAGCAAGCATGTTTTTTTTTCCTGTGAGATAATAAGACGTCACACAGGCACTAAATGAGAGCTGTCTTTGTTATTCTGGAGCAAGAATCAGACAGTTACAGGTGAAAGATAGTCTTCCCCCCCCCGTAACCTTCAACTGAGCTACAAAGTCAGACCCTGTGCTCACAGTGTATGAATGACAAAACGGAGTATTAGGGCTACATGGAGGACGAGTTTTGATTTGATTTGATTTATTCTTTCAAGCATGTAAAGACAGTTGATATATCAACACACATAATTTCACACATATCCAACACATTCATACACCACACCCAGTTCGAGGATAATTTCAAAATATCAAGAATAAAGTCAAAATACCATTTTGAGAATAAAGTCGAAATATGAAAGTTTGACTTTTCCCTTTATTCTGGACATTGAAAATAAAAAGGAAAAATATTTTTCATTACAATAATGATACCAAACATGTCTGTGTATGCTGTCAATTACTGTTCTTAGAAAGAAAATCGGAAACAGCAGCAGAGTGTGGAGCTCTAATGAGCAGGTCAGACTTAAAAAAAAGTTAATAAAAATTTTTTAAAAATGGAACTGGCCAAAAAAATTGCAATTGGTACATCTCTAGATTTAATGTCAAAAACAACTCTGCAAATATTGTTCACAATATTTTTGTAATTAAAAAAAATATTGATCACAACTGATTCAAATAATTGTACAGAAATGTAACTTCATTTTTTAACTTGTGGAATCAAATTTCTTTGTCAGACTTTATCCTGCACTGACTAAACTAAAGGCACAAATACTAAGCATAATAAAGGAATACGGTCTACAAACAATGTTTTATGTTGCTTCGTTTGTTTTTGCAGTTGAGCAACTTAGACCTAAATGAGAAAAACAAGTTCGAAAGTATCATGTAGAGATCAAGCAACATCTTGATATCTTCCCTGTCCGCTTCTACTTTTCTCCTCTGTACCAACAGTCAAAATGGCGTGACATACTCTACATTTAGAAAGGCTCGTCTCTCCTTGTTCATGTTTCTTCCGCCTTCCTATCTACTAACTCATCTTATCTCTGTCATCCAGCAGCCAGATGTGCAGCTGCCTGGCAACGACCAAAACAGAACATTTCATCTCTGAACAAGTGGGTGAAAAAAACCTCTGCAGCTAATGGCTCTAGAGTTTGTGAGCCAGCCTGGCATAGAATCATGACTTCACGTCTTTACCATTTCTACTCTACAAACTCAACTCCAAATCTAATCTAATGCAACTAATCACTACAAACCAGCTGCAGACAGGCTATTAAAGAGAGACAGGAAAAACAATGTTCTCTAGAGATAAGCAGCAAATAGTGAATGACTGTGCTGAGTGTATGGAGATACAGCAGAAGAGGACTGAGTGGTAACTAGAAGTGAAAGGTCTGATGACTAAGGGGGAGAGAATTAATGAAGATTCAAACGTTACACCAAGTCAAAAATAAAAAAAGAAACATTTCAAATGGATGGATTTTCTAATTAATTCAAGAGGTGCTGTTATGGAAAGAGTAAAAATTATTCCAATGGACGAAATATACACTATACGTTCACAGATTAGCAGGACAACACAGTCAGGAATATTAAACATTCTGTATGGACATGCTGGCTGTCAGTTTTCCCCGTTCATCAACTTCAGTTTTACATCTCATATGTTGATTAGCAAACATGTTCCACAGTGACCGAGTCAACAACATGTGCTCTTCTCTCGGTCATGCTAATCAGCAGTTATATATACACACCATAAAAATGCCATCAAAGCTAAATGTACAGTAAAGATTGTCACACTGCAGTCAGTGTCAAGCCTGCCAGGACTCCACGAATGTCTGTTGAACTCACTGCACTAGTCCCGTACCTGAAACCCATGCAAAGGCAATAGCCACCCATAATACAGTGCAGCTTTGTGGCTCAAGGTTTCTGCATTTGAGCCAATTGATCAGAAAGTTTCTTTTGATGGATGTTGTTTTTTTATGCGTGAGATTTTGCGCAAGCTCTCTGTTTTGTTTACACTCAGCTAGCTCCTCACGCTCAGTGGTAATGACGAAACAGTCACCCAGTGCAGTGATGTATGTCACTGATGGAGGTCTATGACACAGACGAATAAGCTGATCCAGGACTGCCACACTGGTGGACATTAACAGTGAGTAGTGGCAAATAATTGCGGGCTTAGTTTCCGCATGCGGAGTGTTGAAAATACTGCCAATAGATAAAATGACCAGACATATCCTTTTGTGTTTTGAAGGAGGAGGAGGACGAACCTGGACCTGCCATTTCCTTCTTTATTCAAAAGAATATAACGTTAAACAAAATTTCAGTTCAGGGGGATCAAATAGGTGAAATAAGTAGAAAACCAGTTTATAGCATTTTCAAACATCACACTAGGATTTATATTATTTTACAGACATAGATTTTATATATTTTTGTCTGTTTATAGCATTCGTAGACTTTCTATGTTATCATTTGTTCTAGTGTTGTGTTTTTGTCTGGAACTTCTAAAGCTGCCATCTTGGCCTGGGCATCTTGAAAAAGAGGTTTATAACCTCAGTGGGATTCCTCTGGTTAAATATTGATTAATGTTATAACTGGCAGAAATTATGGCTAAAACTAAAAACAAGACCAAAGGTGTAATAAAAAAAATATCCTTTCACACTCTTTGCAAATCCATCTCCACTTGATTACTCTTTACAGCCCCTTTAAAAGCAAAAACTAAATAGACCTACAAGTCTGCTTTGAATTCCAAGTCTAGAAGCCAACGATTAAAATGCTGTTACTCCTTTGACACCCACCTCTTTGACTTCCAGCAGCCGTCCTGGGTACTGGCTCTTGGCCCGCCGAGCTGCGGATGGAGATTTGTGGTGGGTGATGGTGACTATGTTGCTGGGTGAGGTCGTGTGGCCCAGGTGCCTCTGGGAACCCGGGGATGAAGATGGGGTTAGGTGGGGGAGGAGGGAGAAGCTACGGGTCCGACCAGAGGATGAGGAGCCCTGGGGGAGGGAGGGGGCAATACAGACAGGGAGAGAGACAGTTGTGTGGGAAGCTGAACATGATCACATAAAAGTGGAGAAACAAAAACTATCTTCAGTGAGGAATCCCAGGTTGCTACTGCCCCACCTGATCCGAGAAACATGTGGGAGAACTGATCTCATTTAGTGCCGCTATGTAAATACCAGTTAGTGTCTGGCAGACAGGAGGAAGTGCTGTTTTGTTCCAGCTCTGGTAGTCTTCAACATCATACGTTATAAACCTGGTCGAGCACCTTTTGAAATGATGGTGTAATTTGCTCAAAAGCAGCAAATGTCAATATACAGTATATATCATGGCATGATGACACTTCTGGTGTTGACAGGAAGCTAAAAGACAAAATTACAGAGTCAGTTCCTTGATGCTGAAACACATGACGTCGCTGCAGCAGCTAAGTTTGTGAATGGAAACACAAAGTTCAGCTGAGTTTTAGAAGAAGGTACTCAACCCTTTTATTGCACTGCTTCTCTCTGTGCCACTACTAAGGTCAGATAACTTCATTTATTTTGGTGCCTCCTCCTCGTCCCCTCCTCCTCTTTAGTTAGCTGACCCCTGTGCTCACACAGGCAGCGATGTCAGACCAGTATCTCTCGTCTGTCTTTACTCTCCATTAGTTTAGAGCAGTGCACCAGAGAGTTATCCCTCAGAGGAGCACAAAGGTCTGATCACTGAGGTGGTGAAAGTAAAACAGATCAAATGAACAGCTTCCACCCCCAGAGTGCTGCTCATCAAACAGGAAACAACCAGCATTGGTGATTTTTATTTTATTTTGAGTGATGCTGTTTGCTCTACAGTAAATGAGGCAATCAAATGTATGACTAGCCTGGTATTGTAACATGACATGCGTGATTAGGAGTTAACTGCAGAGTCATTTTAAACGACTGCAAGCAAACACACCACACTAACTGAAAATACATCTTTCTTGATGCCTCCAAACACTAAACAGAGGGAGTTATAGTAGGCGGCTCCTTTTGTAATCATTTTAACATAAAATAGTCCACCTACAAGAGGGAACACTGCTGTACTGTGCAAGGCTAAGCCACAAGCCGTGAGTAAGCAGAAAACGTACAGGCTTTCAGGAGCACGAACAGAGACTGGCTGTCCCCCAGAACTGGCAGAGAGCCCCGATCCTGTCAATAAACTGGATCGAAAAGAAAAGTCTGAGCAAGAAACTTCAAAGAGGGAAAGGAAAGGGGGCAGCGACAGAAGGGTAGAGAAAAGTATGAGGTACAGGTGTGAGCAACAATATAGTGCTACAGTGCCTAAATGGGCCGTGATGTGAGTTGGGTGTTTCAATCACACAAGAGAGGCAGCACCTGTACACCCCCTGATGTTTGTTTTTTCGCTGGCACTTGACCGTGGGTGGACTTGGCCCTGTGAGGGGCAGCGTAGGTACAAATATACAACAATCAGATACTGAGCTGTTTTTTTACACACCACAGGGAACAAAACTAATTACACACACTCAGCTATTTGATAATAACCTTAGTTTCAAAAACAGTCAAGTACACATTCAGCATGAAATTATCAACTGAAAATAGTGAGCTTTGATCCAACTGATTTTATTCTGGTTTTTAATGTTAATGCTTTCTTTGGCGACTGCATGTAAAGCACTTTGACTCACCTCGATTTGAAATAACTAAATAAAGCTGCCGCGCTTGATTCAAGCCTAGAAGATTATTGTGGGGAAAAGCCTTGTAAACAGCACTGTATCTTTGTTATGCAAAATGTTTATTATAGTCAGTAGAAATTACATTATTTTAGGTGAAGCTCTTTCTTTTCCAACCTTATTGCAACATATAAACCTATTCCTACAGTAGCAAAAGCTGAACCAAAACACAGCTTTAGACAGGGGCTATGCAGCACACACAGACTTTCTTTATTGGAGGAGACAGTAACCATTACCAGCGCTAATCAAAGCTCCACAGTTTGACTCTGTGTCCTGCCTGTCGGGGCTGTGTGTGCTTGTAGTTTAGCCTCACAGCAGCACAGTGACCACATGGGGGGACTGGCTGTTAATCAACTGGATAACCTGCAGCTGTGCTCACTGTCCAGCTGAGCTGCTCTGCTTCTCAACTTGCAGCAAGGTGGATACAACCACATCAACGCCAATAAAGCTTTTTCAAAATAAGACATCCCAGGTGCGTGCCGGTTCCCTTAATTGCGTCTACATTTTCCTCACTTGTGCCTTTTCCTTGCTTCTTAAGAAACTAGATGCCACTGAAGATACAAGAAGAGACGCGAGGATGTGACACACTGAGGAAACACATTTTTGTGAAAATGTGATGACCTTTTACCTGAACCATTTTGACGCAGATTCATCATTTTTGTAAAAATGTGATGACCTTTTACCTGAACCATAATCAGAAGTAGCATCTATTTATTATAATGAACAACACAGAAGGATCAAGTGTCAGTCGGCTTTGATGGTTTAGGTTTGTGAGTGCTTTCTATTATAATGTGCTCACTCCTTTAGGTCTCTTCATCACGTCTTTACTGGGTCATATTGCAAGTTAATAATGGGAGCAAGTCCAGATGAACAGAAAGTTGGTTTGAGGGCTAGTAAAACATTTTTAGGTGGGTGTGGTTTGTTAGGGGAATTCTGTTTCTCAGTCCTGCCTTATGTATTGTTATACTGGATCACATTACTATCCTATTTACACCCGGTGGCGGTGTCAAACTTCATTCTTTATCTGGATGTGTGGCAATGGAAAAACACACAGAACAATGCATGCACTGGGACTGGAATGTGATTGGATCAGTCGGACCACAGGGTTATTTGACATGCTGAATCGGCATCAAGCCTTTTCAGACCGCTCTGATTGGCTGTTCAGCTTTGCGGATCAATGCACCATGCATCATGTCCTGCCTTCAGCATGCTGGTGTGGGAAAAAACACCATCAGAGAACCTACCCTGAGGAAAAGTTAAAAAAATACATACACATATTGTGTGAAACAAAAGGGAATATATGATGCAAGTGGGGTGTGTGTTGTGCATTTTTGTCCACCCTTCTATGAACATTCTCTCAGTGCCCTGCTAACTGGGAAATGTGACATAATCAAAAGCTTTAGAATCATTATTATTATTTGAGTTGAGAATTGTCAAACTGTTCTAATGTGTCTGAAAGGTTCTGATTCAACTCCATGACAGTTTCTGATGTTACAGCATCTGAAATTTTACAATTGGGATTGTAACAATATTTTCAGGTGTTTCTGTTATTTTGTCCACCATATATCCGTCCACATATAAAGTACTGTACATTCTAACACAAAGAAGGAAACTAGCATTTCAGCCAACTCTACTTCATGTTTGTTTCTCTACATCAACTTCAAAATAAAAGTCCCCATATGAAAACTCTGAAAAATGTATTTACTGCATCTGTATCCATCATCAGTACAAAATGCATCAGCAATCTTTTGTCCAGTTTCTTATAAAGACTCAACAGTTACCGTTTTTTGAAATACATAAATCCTGCTACACATGTTCCACCACAGCGGTGCATTATGTGGCTGAGCCTCATTATCCGAGTAGCTGCGATAATGATCTGAGATCCAGACAGTGCAGCTCAGGGACGGATTATACCGCAGCGGTGGGTACAGTAATAACAGCTACTGCCGTGGAACTGCCCCACGGTCACTGAACAGGAACAAAACACCCGCTCAGCTTCACAGGGCAGAAAGAAAAAGGGAGCAGATATTCGTCCTCCTGCCTTTTTTCCTTGCTTATCCAATTTTCTCAGATTTTTTTGAAGGCTTATCTCACCACGACTGAGCAGAGTAATTAGACTTTCCCTTTGCTCCAGCTGTGCAGCAGTTTGAAGTGGTGAAGACCTACATGCTGGATAAGCGATCCAGCAATGAGGCGGTAAAATGCAGGTGCAGTATTTAATTGTTTAAAAAGACACATGAAAGTGTTTTTTTTTCAACACTGGAAAAAAGTATGAGGACCGACAGAGCTTTCTGTTTCATTTCTCTTGTTTGGAGGTGATACTGTGTTTGTTAGATGTATAGAGCAACTCAGGTGCATGTGGTGACTCACCAGGACCTCGTGACCTCCTCCTGCTCTCTCCACAGTCAGGTGCTCATCTGAGCCCTTCAGCTTCCTCACCTGAAACCAAACAAGTACACATTCAAATTAAATTAAAAAATTTAAAAAAACTGCAAACAGCAGAAACACCTTTCAAAGCAATACAACAAAATCATAAGTTCATCCTTACAAATCAAGACCTCTCTGGCAACAAAACCAAAACACTGTAAGCCTCAGAAAAGTAGGATTTGTAGCAGGTCAGTTGTCCTGAGCTGTGTTAGCTCGTACAGGCTGTACAGTATCTTGTGCATGTTTTATAATGATAAACAGACATTTCACTGGAAAAAAATCTGCCTTCACCACTTCCATGTACAAAGTAAAGATTAACAGCAAAAGTTGCTAAAGTTCAATATACACATCATAAAATGAACTTCAGAAGTTAAAACCTCTGCTCAAAGCTTATGTCAGGCATCTCAGCAACACCGACTTGTTCAATCACAGCTGTAGCAAAACCAGTGAGAAAAAATCTGCCTTTACCACTTCCATGTACAAAGTAAAGATTAACAGCAAAAGTTGCTAAAGAAATAATGAAGTTAGGATTATTTCTGTCCTTCATGCACTGCTGATTTCAGCACTGTCATGACCTGCAGTGGAGCTCCAGAAAGAGTTCAATAACCAGCCTCATTCTCCACCGAACTGGGAGAATCCCCACACAGACAGAGTCACCCAAATAAAAATGCACATGCCTAAATATTCATCTATAAAGTCCATATAAAAGGGACATTTAGCTACACACTCGTGCTCATGTAAATCTGCAGGAGCTTGTTACCATATTTCCCTAAATCTCTAAGACTTCTGTCAAATGGAAGTGCTAAAAATATTCTTGAATTATTCAAGCAAATGAAGCTTCACATGACACATGAAGGCTGAGTTCTTCACCTTGTGCAGAAGCAGCACGCTGTATTTGAAAATGGTGTCCCTCCTGAATCCTTTAACATTTTGTCTCCTCATTAAATGCTATCTTTTTAATCATGTGACTCTTTTACTTTTACCAGTTTGTGTGAACTGTAAATTTCCAATTAGTGAATAATTAACCTTTTACCTGATCTAGGTTTGACCTTATGAAGCCCTGATGAGAAGGACAGGTCAAGACTTCATAGAGAAAACGGGTCATTTTAGATGACGATAGGAGAAAAGCCAGAAAAGAGCAGTGGAGTCATCTACAGGATTGTTCCAGTGCTGTAAATATCTAGAGGGAATGCTAAATGACTCAAAGGGGATGATCCCACTTAAAATGGAAACTGGTATTTTAAAAAATCTGCCATCTGTTAGACTAACTAAAAGCAGAGCAAAGTAGGAGAGGGCCAGGACTTCTGGGGACTAAACAAAGGGTTTTCACCAAGTGGAGGACTTGCTCCTGTGCAGAGCGGCAAACTGTTGAACTTGAGTTTCCTGAAATGACTGAATAGGAACTTGCCAGGAAATGTGACTTCTCCTCCCGGACAACACATAATACAAGCCCGGACCAGGGTCGTGTTTGCAACTCTGTGCATGTTTTACCTTGGTACTGCTGTCAGAGTGACGCCTGGCACACGCCTGGAGTTGACTGATCCAAAACTGCTGCTCCTTGGCATTGGAGGCTGCAAAGACACACAGACCCAAAATGCCATGACCAGTAAAACAATCTTTCTTTAAAACTATCGGAATACTTGGCTTCACAGTCAGGTCGATATGCAGTTGTGTTTTATTTTGTTTTGGTTTTATTGTTTTAGTAGTGCTTTTTAGCCGTTATACATGTTCTGCTGTGAAGCACTCTGGGCTCCGCTGGAGTTGTAAAGTGCTATATAAATAAAGTTTTATTATTATTTTAAAAAAGCCGAGAGCCGTGGTGTGTCGATGTGTCTTCCGTTAAAAGGAGTTTTCCCTCCACACTGTTGCCAGGCACCTGGGGGATTTGTTGGGATTTTTCCTCTATATTATTAATAATAAGCAAGGTCTAGACCTCACTTTGCAAAGTGTCCTGAGATGACCTTTGTTGTGATTTGGCAAATAAAACTGAAATGAATTGAAATGAATCTACAGTACAGTATGGTAGGTGAAAACTGCCCTAATTAAAGACATAGTATCCCAACAAAAAACCCAAAATGGCAACACTGAAAAATCAAGTGAGTATTTTCCACTTATCCAGTTTTTAGTAACACATTTGTTCTTTGTTTTACTATTCCTTAATAGCAGTTCAGCAAAGAAATGCTGTGTGAGGAAACAAAGAGATACTCACTTGACTTGATAACTACTCAGACTGCCTATTAGCTCTGGCTGAACTTCAGAATTCATTTCACAAAGCACAGAACAGGAGGAACAGTTACAGTGAACACAAACTGCTTTTATATCCATCCACTGTTTTAAAAAAAAAAGACCTGATATCTTATATAATCAGTCACTGGAAACAGTTTTGGGTTGTGAAATCTATGCAGGTTTCACGTGAGAGCACGTCACTGGCTCATGACAGCACTTTGCAGAACACATCAAGAGGAATGAGACACCCTAAACCCTGAATGTGGACGTTAGACCCATAAGACTGTGGGGGAGGAAAATGGGAAATCTACCTAACACTTAACTACAGATCATGACTTAAATGAAGTTTCTGACAAAATACCAGACTCGATTCATATCCAAACTAATGCTGATGTTTCTGTTCAGTGAGCCAGAAAACAACTTAAGTCCAAAATAAAATACACATATGCATGACAATACTAGAGGCTTAACTCACTGAACTGTAACTAAAAATATTTCCTTTTGAACATTTCCCCATCCAATCGTTTCTTTCCCAATACAACAACTCTACCAGATTTAAAATGTGTTTACTTCACCGCATGGAACTCATTCAGATCAAAATATCTGTTATGTACAGTCCAAGCTTGTTTCTGTAAACACGAGGGAACAAATTGAGTGTCAGATTTTCTAAAATCTTCTGAAACCTCCTTTCTGACAGAGGCATCAGGGAGACTTGTGTCTATCGGTGGAAACAGACAACCTGACAGTCACTCTATGCAGCCAGATGTGTGGAAGTGTGAGAGCACTGTAGGCAGGGCTCACAAAGAGAGACCGACTGCCATGTTGTCCTCAAGAATTTAACCTCACATGTTATATGATCTGGTTCATTTGAAGCACACCGGACCCTTGGATCCATTCTTGCTTGAAATACATTGGATTCTACTCCAGCTGCCAGACATTTTTCATCTACTTGTCTTCAGGATTTTTTTTTTTTTTTTTTCAAAAATTTGCAAATGAAGGGCGTCGCCCCCCCCCCCCGTCACTGACTGGATAACGAGGATGAATAAATTCATAACATTTATTAAAAATTATATTATCTCCAAAATTAAACTTTGGACTCCTCTGAGACTTTTTCTATTAAATGTGTTTATTTGCCGAGTGTGGTTATTGCGGTGTACAGAGAATTCAATCTGCACTTGTCAATCAATGGCAGTGCACACGTCTGCCTCAACACCTGCAGAGATCCTCTTTAAGTGAAGAGCCAGCTTAGAGAAAATGAGACATTCACAGAAACTCTTGACAGGTGAGGCATTGGAGAACTGCTCTCCCACTCCCAGTGGGAGAGAATTCATATGAAAACGCCTGTACTGAGCTGTTCCTCTGCAAAAAAATACCCAGTAACAGCCTTCGTTCTTGTTGTCATCATCCACACTCACTCAAAAAGGGACCACTTATCCAGAGAGAGAGAGAGCAAGCGTCTAAATCAGATATGGTTGTGATGTGCACAAGCCTAGCTGTGGTTTAAATTGATCAGTTGTCAGTATTGAGCAGAGCAGCCTCTGCAAGCGGCTGCGTTAATATGCACCTGGTGGCACAGACGCACTACTTAGCCAAGAGCAGCATGTGCTGTTCTCATTCAGGGTGAATACTATGACACTGATGAATATATTCAAAGCTGGTTTTGTGTCGTGCTAAATGCATGAGGTCTGCACTGGAAAATGAGGGTGCTAACAACAAAAATAAAAGGCTGGTCCACCTGCCTATTTGAATGGGCGACAACAGACACTGCCCGTCCTAGTGTGTGTGTGTCTGATTTAAATGTCAATATCTTTCCCAGAGAGGTGGGTAAACTGAACATTGCTGAGTAAGTAAGTGAGAGAGAGAAAAACATCCATCCCAGTCAATCACAGCACCACCATCGACGTCTAATTACTTGCTTTTTAATTACAGCAATGTGAATGACGTTATTGGTTATGATAATGGGAAGACTGGGGATTAATGCTTGGACCAGCAGTTAGATTTGTAAAAGTGCTGGAAGATATTATGACCAGGGGCATTTTAAAGATATATTTCAAGAAAATGGACAGGCTGACTAGCAGCAGCTACCAGTAACCAGACTGCTCTAATCAAAATGACACTAGGTTGATATTTCAGATTTAACTTTAGGTTTATTTGCCTTTAATAGTTTTTATTCATGATCAAACTACTGTATCTCACAGTGTGGCTGATTTTAGTTTCTTATGCAGTAGTACAGCACAGGGGACTCGAATGTTATATTTAAGCTGAATAACTGTTACTTTAGTGATATTTTAACCCATGCATGTACTGTATGTGAACTGTTGCTACTTAATAAAATGAAAAATGCAAAACTTTGTCAATATGACATATTTTTGTCCTTGAATGGCAGCCCACTAAAAGACTACCCAAGATGGAATATGAAAGGCAATGAGTTGGTTTCTCTCTTTACTTTGCCATTGAAATAAAGTGATATGGTTAAAAAAAGAACCCCCTATTAAAGGTCGAGTTGGGTAAGAAAATGGATGTTTTCATCTCTGTACAATACATATGAAGCTACTAGCAGTCAGGGTAGATTAACAAACATGTTCGGAGGCTTGTCAGAACAGAAAATGATGCAGTGGTCTTTTAATAAATGATTCAAAGTGAAACTGAGTGACAGGAAACTTAATCAAAACCCTCTTGTGGGAAAAAAACGTCAACCTAAGAACAGAGGTGGCATTTAAAGCTTTGGAAACTGACCATCAGTGAGATGATACGCAGCTTCAAAGCTATGCCTGAGAAAGTGGAAAATGACTCCCGACTGAACCTTAAAGCTACTTTTCCTCCCTTCAAAGCAGGCTTCTCATGCTAACCAGATCTGAGCGTACCAACTAATCTTTATCACCAACTGTTGAGGACACATGTGAGCCACTATGTCCCCTGCTGTTTCAGAAAATTAAAGGTTTTTTGTTTTGTCCAAATAGTAATAACCCACTACAATTATTTTCAAAGAGGAAATATTTAAAAGGCTGTTTTATGTTGTTGGGGCATTTGAGAATTTTGCCACAGGCTGAGGTCAGTGTGAGGTCATACCTCTGAGTTTGTACATCTCTCCGTTGACAGAGTTTACAATGAACATGTGTGGAGCCTCATCACTCGGGGTTACAGAGGCGCCCAGCAGAGGGAGGGATCCACGGGGCCTCTGGCTCTTCCCCTGCTCATTGACAAAGTACTGCAGCTGTCCCAACTCCGGATCTAACACGAAGTACCTGCATGGAAGGAAAACAGAGACAGAGAGGAAAGTTAAGAAAGTAACGAGCCAGAGAGAAATGAGGGGGTGAAGCCCAGTTAATGTTAGCATCATTTTGTTTTATGTCCTCATTATGTTGCCTACTAGGAAACTTTTTTTATCCTCCTGTTGTACAAACTTTGCAGAATGTGGGAAACACTAGGAAAGTTATAGGAGGTTTATGATTGCAAGGAGTCAAGAGAGCTGCCATAAAAAAAGAAAAGACACAATGCCCTTAAATTCCTCACCATGCAACAAAGCCTGCAGGATATTGTCTACCTCACTACTCTTCACAGAAGATCTGTTAAGAAATAGCCCATGCGTACACATTAAGCCCTGCTCTCACCAACGTCAAGCCAGCAAGCTCAGCTCCAAATTACTGACGGTAGCGATCAGTGCTGTGTTCTTGAGCAGAACCCGCAGCTTGAGGCGTGGATATTAAACTTATATTCTCCCCTCTGTGATTAGTAAATAACATTCAGTTACTCCATGATTCAATCTTTGCCTCACTCATCACTGGCTGGGGAGACTCGAAGCCAGACACACATAACCTAACGCGCACAGAGAGGCAGACACTTTTCATTTCCTGTGGACAGAAAGGATTCTGTATGAGCCTGTCTGCTGCACTTCGATCTTCGTTCTGGATCTGCAGCTCAACATTGGCCACAATGGCACCGGGTGCCTGTGGCTAACGGTGGTCTCAGGTAGCAGCATTTGTCAATGTCGTCTGGTTCAGTACAAGCTGGTATCAACGATTTAAAACATGACAAAATGGCAAAAACATTTTTAAATTAAACAGGGGACATCTTCTAGAGCCACAGCTAAAAATTATTTTTAGATTTACTTAATCTACTGACAACTTTCTGACAACTGATTATTTTATTATACTGAATGAATGGCTTCAAATACGTGACCAATGAGGGGACAGAAAACCCCGTGACTGCATCCTCACATTAGTGTAGACATTTTCCCATGAACCCTCCGCGGCTCCCTGGAGAGTGAACGCTGCTCTCTGAAAACCGATCCCCACTCTCAGTCTTGCTTCCTTCCATCAGGAGAGCCGGTGATTTAAGTCAACCACAGCCAACCAAGGAACAACCTGCCTGCGTCAGTTCCTATCGAAGCCTGCTCTTTTTCTCCCTCACACACAAACATCCTATGCTGTATATGAAGCCTTATCTCCTGTTCACTCAGCAGAGCGGAGGCTTTCACAGCCGACTCCTCCGAGCACTGCAAACCTTTAATATGATGGATGGTCCTGAATAAGAGACTTTGGGCTTTCCGGTCAGCCTCTCATGTCATAGGAGTGCTGATTCTACCCAACCTGTGGAGTCACAGACTCTCTGGGCCACAGTGAACTGTTCACCTTTGGAAGCACAAAGCTGCAGGAAACTGGGCCAAATGAAATCACCCCTCAGCTTCTGTAAACCTGATTCATAATAAGCATTTATCCCTGTTAAAGGGCAAATATGAGGTGGTAGTATCACTGACAAGCTCTTGTTTGGGATTTAATTGCTCTTAAGGTGTCTAGTGAAACTGGGAATAACTAATTTAATTAAGTCAACTGCTGCATATGTTAAAGACAACAAGTATCTAATTTCACAATTATACAGCAGACTCCAAAACAACTTGGCCATCATGTCATGAATTTCACTGCTTGTAAACAGCAGACTATACGATTTTAAAACCCTTGAAGCAGAATCATAAAAATGATAATGTTGGCGCACTTTTCAAACTTGCCTGTATAAAAACATATGACTTTTAACTTTTCATACAAAAAACAAACTAGATCTATATTCAGTGGCTATTCTGGTTTTTCATCAATTAATCAGTTTCGGCTATACCTGGCTTACACTTCTGAAATGTAATCCACTTACAAACAGACATGTGTAACAGAGATCTTTCCAATTCTTTTGTTGTTGTTGTCATACAAATAATTCACCACCATTGATGCGGCAGGAAATAGCCTGTCAGCAGAATTTGCACCACCTCCCCGCTTTTTTGGCAGTTAATTCTCAGAAATGCTCGGAGGGAGATCAGAGTCAGAGGGATTATGTAAGCCAGTATTTTACTATTGGATACTTTCATGGGGCACACGGGGGCAACGGGACAGTTGGAGTGGAGTGTATTTTTCAGTAGACTTGGCGCTATGTGTGATCTTCTTGACATTTTACCGGATTAGCTGATTCAGTGTAGAGGTCTGTACTGGCCCACAGCTGTGGCAACAGGCCCAAGGAAAACCTGAAAATCCTGTTTTCGCCTCCTTTATGAGCAATGTAGTCAATTGCAATATATAAATACAAAGGAGAGTAATTTTCTGACCAATTCGATATCTGGAAACAAACTCTAAAAACAAACTGTTATTTAATAGCATAAATCTTTTACACAAGGTTCGGTACTATGTTCCCAAAATACTTGCTCCCATGTGATTATGATGTACAATGTGATCAGAGCTGATACTGAAGAGAGAGATATTGACAAATGGCAGTAAAACGAGACCCTACCCAAGCCAGTTAGACCCAGTCAAAGCCGGGCTCTGGGCCAGGTGTCTGTTCCTCAGAAGAAAGTGGACCTCTAAACACCTGTAATTCAGGGTTAGACTAACACAGAGTGCAGAGTCGGTCTGAGTTTTAATAAAATGCAAACAGCAGCTGACAGAACAATCTAAAGGTCAAACAATCTCACACCACAACAACTCAACTGAACAGTTACATTTCCACTGAAACTGATCACAAGAAGGATATGATCTAAGGCCCCAGAGTAAACGAGCTCCTCCAAAAACATTTATTTTGCTGCTACTGGCAAACTAAGTGACTAGAATTACAACAGTATGATGACAGCAAAGGCAAACTCAAGCCACCTCAAACAGAAAGTGAAATTCCTGCCAAAGCCTAACCAAACTTTATAAAAATACCAGTGAGACCTAAAGCTAATGCTCCAGGTTTTCTTTCTCTCTTCAGCCAAAGAGACCTCACAGCTTTGATCAAAGAAGTATAGCAGTACTACTTTCCACTGAGCACATCTGCAAAGAAATGGTCCTTCCTTCACTGCCGACTGCTTAGGAAGACATACATTTAGAACCTATACATGCACCAATCCTCACAGACTCATAATACAATGAGATGCCTGAAGAGGAGCTATAAATGTTCAGCACTCTGCATATAAATGTAGCAATAACTCCATATGATGCATTAACATGCATCAGGTTCAGTAGATGAAAATTTATAACTAATTTATAAACTAAGTCCATCTCCTCCATCATCACCCTGGAAACCAGGGCCGCCATCCACAACCGAAAGCCTCTCTCAACAAAAGGCAAAGCTCACATGCACACATAGTTTATGTATTGTACACCGTGCAATACAGTCACACAAGCTCCACAAGGTGAATCTTGCATTAAGCTTCTCTGACACACAACCACTATTTTATTTGTAATAAACAAAGTGAGGCTTTGCAGGAGTGGCTTCCCCATCACCACAGACATCTTTGTGATTGAATGTGTGTCTGGGTAAAACTGACTATGACAACCTGACAACTTTGTTTAGTCTGGGGGTCTAGAGGCTGTGTAACGTAGAGCCAACCCATTAATCCTGAAATAGACTCAAGTGTGTTCTAGCGCAGCACTAAGCAAATGAGTTCTCTTACACAGCAACATGAGTTAATCAGTAGGTGTGATGATTAAAGCATATTTCCACTTTACTGCACCACGGCTCTTACTGCTGCTGTGACCATCGTGCCTTTTGCTTTTGATAACAAAGCACTAATAACATTTGCTGATCTAAACCAATGAAACACTGTTATAATGAAGTTCAGCAAGGAAATAAGAGAGCGGATGATGAAACAGGTGGAAACTGTGGGTAAAACTGAAAATGAGAGCACCCATAATGTTACAGCTAGAACTCTCGTGCACATAACTAGGTTACATATGGCTGGGCTGAGGTGAACCAAGGAGCTGGACTGTAAATGATGATCGACGTTTACCACAAACAGGTGGGTAATCATTTTATCTTTTGCCTTAATTGTGCCACTTAAATATGTCTGGCTAACCTGAGCAGCTGTTCAAAAACCTGTCTGATCATTTGATTCCTCACGCTTAGGTGGACTTCATCCAAACAAACGACCCGAAGGGCACAAAATTCTATTAAATCAGCTCTGCTGCTTCTCACTCGGTTGTGAGCGAGTAGTTTTCATGTCAGAAAACATTGTGCAACTGTACCTCTGCCAACCAGTACTTGGTTTTTGTTTGTATCTGTAATCTTGAGGGAAATACAGAAATGAGATTCCAGAAGCTACAATAATGAACATTCATCCTGAGCAAGTTAACACCAAACCTTTACTGCGTGTCATCCTTCTTTGTCTGTTTTCTGCAGATCTCTACAAAGCTTCAGGCAAAAGTGTGCCTATATTTGCATAGAATTGAACATTTTCAATGTTTGATCCCACCGTTTGTAATCGCTGCTCAGAGATGTTCATTGCTTTCCCACAATGCACTGAGAAAAAGATTCACTTGCTTCCCAAACAAAAGAATGAGGTCAAACTTTGTTTTACAATGTTACTGTGCTCCAACAATTCACTCACTGCGTACAGTCTTATAATGTTAATAAATCCAAATGGCCAAACCTACCAAAATAAGATCAGAATAATCCTTTGAAGGGGTAATCAATCAGTTTATATGAACACTACAGGAGCTAAGAAATGTATTATGTCACTGAGGGTCCTAACAAATACAGTATGTATATGTTTATGTATAGAATAAAAACTGCTAGCAAGTGCATTTTCTCCAACACAAACACACACAGTGCCTACACAACATAAGCACTTCACACTGACACATGGCCGCCCACACAGTGGCAGAATTAGCTCCACTCATGTCTGCTGCCCACCACGACAAACACATACAACGTCTTCCTCCACGTGACAGATAATGGATCATGACTGTCATTACTCCGTCTTCCACCAGAGCGCAGCATCTCCTCCAGCCAGTGGTTCTATACATAAACACTGTAGGCACTTAAAGAAATTAACCGTTAGTGAATGTTGAACACACCCTGGGAAAGAATCGAGTCTCCATATCGTTCTCTTCTCTCTAAAATGGGTTTAAAAAATACTGACACTACAAGTTATTCTCAACTCACCATCATTGTTTTAACCTTTTTCTAAACCCCAGTTCAAGTTACTTTTTTAATTCTGCATCCACCTCTTGTAAAAACCTAATACATCATTAAGTTTCATAAACTTACTGATCAAGCTGAAGTGAAAATATCTGATTGTTAGAGAGGTCAATCCTGCTCAAAACCTCTTAGAAGTTAATATCACTGCACTGCTGTTCAATGCGCCACAGGAGGCCTCGACAGCACCTCTTCACATTATCTGAAAAAACTCCCACACTATAGCGTTAATGAACTCCCCCATGACCTGCAGCTAACACAGCTGTAACAGTAGTGCTAGAAGGACTGTAGCAGTGGTAGGTATCGGGGGGTTTCCAATCTAGCTGCATGCAGAAAGGCTTCTCAGTTTCAGGATGTTTCAGCCAGTGCTCACTATCTGTCTCTACACATTTACCCAGGCTCGAGGCCACAGCGCCAGCTCGGGTCAATGAACTAAAGGAATCTCTCCTTGAAAGCCAGACCTTTGCCTTTAGGCACTTTGAAATTGAAACAGGACAGGCAGCAACAAAGAACAACCCAATCCTGCTCAAAACACGCTGCACATTTAAACATATTTGTTTACACAACACGTGGAGTGTTTGTGTGAGTGGAAGCGACAGAAGACAAATATTATGCACACATCAGACACAATTTACACTGTTGTTGATCAACAGCCCTCATTCTTTCTTCTTTAAAACAAACACATCTCTACACCCAGGTATTCCGCTGAGTGTACATCAGGACCCACTTCAGCGCATCATCTGTCTGCCAGTTTAATGGGAGAGCTGGGAGCAGCTGTTTCTCTCTCTCCACCTCTGCCTCCCCACCCCCTCACATACACTGGCTTCCAGCCCAGATCACACACTCTCTGCAGCACTGTTACAGCAACAACGGGACACTATAAGTCAGTTATGTGACAATGACAACCACTAAAGACTCACTCATAGCTTCTCTTAAAGACTCAGTATTTGAGTAACTCACACAGGGGAGGGAGTGAACCCATAAATGTCATATGAGGCACAGTCGCACAATAACGCGCCGCTGTGTTGCTGAGATATTCTGCGCTTCATCATAAGAGTAGCTGCAGTGTTTCATGAACAACACAATATCATAAAGCAACAAATTAAAGAAATCAGGTTGTGCCATTAACCACATTAATCTATAACAGGCAGCACAGAGAGCGGAGGGCGAACACAATGCACGCAGCTGGCACACCAAGCTAAAACTACTGCGGTCTTAATCCAATAGTCCTGCAGTAAATCCAGCAGTATGATCATTTTGGAGGCTCTACTTTGAGCTGCTGTTGAACTGGAGGAGAAAATGACAGAAACACCTGTCAGTACAACACACAGGAACATTATTTGGACACTCAAACCAGGAATGCATTAACAGAGCTAAAGTTACCAAACCATTTCAGGTTAAATGTCCTGTTTGCTAAGTTATTATTTTATTAGGTACACCTGTAATACAATACAACATCCCTACAATAATGAATCTTATAACTAAATCTGCAACAATGAATCATTGAATTGACTGTTCAGAGCACTGGCAGCTATTCTGAAAATCTGTTAATCATTTCAGGACATTTATTTTCTGTAAAAACTGCTGAGACTTGAGATTCTGTTCTCTTTAGCTGCAGTGTGATAATACTGCATGATAATACTGAGGTGTGTAAAGTTCTGACCACTACTATTAAGGAACATGTGGTGTCACAACATTAGAAAAGGTGATCCAGTACAACTAGGGCTTTTATTATCAACTAATCAATCTCTTGTCTTTAAACTGTCAGAAAATTGGTTAAACTGTGGTTCACAACTTCCCAGCAGCCAAGTTGGTGACTAAAGGCTGCTTGTTTTATCTGACAAACACCTCAAAGCCCAAAGATATTCAGATTACTGTTACAGAGCTAAGAAAAGCAGCAAATAGTCACTTCTGACAAGTCAGTACCAGTTCATTTTGGGCACTTTCACTCAAAAAACGACTTAAGAATGATCCCTCTGCTGTTTTAGCTCTAAACACAACAGCACAACTACAGCCTCAAAAATGACCCAAGAACTGGGCCAACATGTTTTCCACACAAAAGTCAAGCAAAAGTGTCGATTGAAAGATTTCCAAAGATGAGGTTTAACGCTGTTTTAGACACATCTGGTTGTTAGTAGTGGTTATTTGCTTTATATTAGTAAGTTAAATCGTTCACTGGCAGGCCTACAAGCCTGTTGGAGCTTCGTGTTTAAACACCCTCACTTCCCCGTTACAGTGACGTGGTGTTAAAAGTGCAACGTGGACGGGGCAAACAACAACACGAACACACTAACACTGGGAATGAAAGTGGACACAGCTAACGCACCCCCTCTCCCCGTTTTATGCGTGTTCTTACCTGTTCTGCCAGCCTTGGATCAGGTTGGTGTATTTGCTCAGCACTCCCTCCAGCTGCCTCTTACGCGCCTGCTGCTGCAGCTGCTGCAGATTCATGCTGGTCCCCGGCGCTGCTCCGCGCCCCGGGCTTCCTCGTCGTTGAATTCCCCCGGTCCGTAGAGGAAGAGTTGGTTTTGTTGGTCCCGTGATGCGGACTGTAGAGCGTCTTTTCCATCCTTGCGACGGGACGGCAGAGAGCAGTAGGAGGAGGAGGAGGAGGAGGAGGAGGAAGAGAGGGGGAGGAGGGGGCAGGGATGGACCAGAAGCAGCAGTAGGGACGGTTTCAGCAGAGCATAAGTGGGACGATGTGTGTCCGCAGAACTAAAGCAGAGGTAGTGGATATGCACGGACTGCGGAGCGACCCTCGGTGCGTGACAGCGCGGACATATTCCCCAGCGGTGTTTGTGTCCCGTTCCTCTGCAGTGCGCGGCCGAGCGGTACCGTGGTCCTCCTCCAGCGCTTTCCTGGCAGGAATGGAAAGCAACGTGCAGACACTCCCACTCCACTCCAGGCCTGCCCCCGGATATTACAATGGAATCCTATTACACACATCATCAGACCAAAATAAGTAACCTGAAAAACGCTGTAGTGCAAATACCCGCAGGAAAAGCCTTGGATGACTCATGCAGGCTGATACACAGCAAGACTTCTTTATGCTTTTAGTAGAAAATTTGCAACAAAACAAAAATGGCTTTTCTGTATGCAAGACAAAGAAAAGGGTGGATGTCTTTATCACATCTTTTGTAGTTTACTTGGGAGCTTTTATAAATTTGAGAGTGTTCATTCTGGCTAAGACACAGAACAGGTGCATGTCCTGTATTCACACATACACTGGACCGGACAACCAGCACAACAACCAGAATGAAAAGGGTACTTTACTGAAGACCATACTGAGGAGCGTTATGTTATTATGAACATGCCAAGATTGAGCAGTCAAGGATATGCCTCCATGAACCTCCACAGGACACTTAACAGAGCACAAATAGATGCCTGCTGCTTGTCAGCTGAGGCAGCCACAAAGCAAAAATCAATAAAAGAGAGTTTAACAAAAGTCCTTGGGCAACAGAGAATCAATGTTTTGTTAAAAGCTTGTGTTGAGCGTCAAGCGTGGGTTAGCTGCATTTCATTATGAAAGGTCATGGCAGTTTGATTGTGATGCTTTTGTATTTAAAAATGTATATAAATTGTAGAAAAAAAAAGAATTTATTGTGTACATTTTTCAGTACAACAGAACAACGAGTATTTGCTGGATCCAGTTCCTCTGTTTACAACTTTGGAAGGTATTATTTAAACAACTTGTATCATCACTGCCTCAGTCACCTTCATGCTGCCCAAACAGAACAAGCTCACTGCAAGAGCCACCGTCCATCGACAGAAGAGAGAAATGGGTGTTTCCTCACCTCAGTACTGTAAGACACAAAAGAACTCATTCCCCAAAGCAATTCAGTGTCTACAGGCTGCAAACTGACATCACACCAATCTCCTCCGTTACAGTCCTGCGACATCCTACTCAGATTTATGGCAGCTGTGGCAGCCCAAGGCAGGCCCTCATCATCTTCCACGAGTGGTTCTCTCTCAGCACCAGAGCCATTTCAGCCTAGACAGAGATACTTTAAATCTAACAGCTCTGGAAAGTCAGCAGCAGCTTTGTTTGTAACATGCTAGCAGAGCCTCTCTTAGTTTATCAAATGGGTTGTGGAAGATTTAGCTGTAAGTTACTAATATTTTATAACTTTTTTAATTCATAGATGAGCTACTTCATTTTTAATTAAACATTAACTCTTAACACATAAAGTTCTCTCCTTTCTATGCCTGCGCTGTGGCCGGCCCAGTCTCATGAATGTTATATCTCAGGAACATCTTGTGGGAATGTCTTCCAATTTGGTACAAAGTCCACTTAGACTTAAGGATAAATTTATTAGATTTTGGCAATCAAAGGTCAAAGTCAGTGACCTCTCGTTCATCCCATTTCCCTGAACTCGACTGGTTGTCAGAGGCAGTAATTCTAGTTTTACTTTTAAGTTTGAAATATAATCATACATAGACATATAATCCTCTTACAACAGCACATATTATATATTCTATATCAGCTTGAAATTATGGGATATTTCTTGCAATTTTCATTCCAGCACACGTTCAGACCCTTTAGATTGCTCTAAATTATTATAGCCTATAACAAAACATCCCTTGGCCTGTTAAAATGAGTGAAATATTAAAACCAAAACCTATTTTTATGGATGCGCCATTCCCCAAAAAGTAAATATTCTAGGTATCTTGTGTCTATGAGGCTGACATATTCAGTATCTTTGGAAACTTTGGGATTAGCTTCAGTTTCTGTACGTATTAAACAAATCAGATATAGTACTGTATGCTCAGTGGTGAGCTTTAGAGGTGTTGGTGGACTTTTTTCTTTTTGCCTCTGGACAAAGCTAGACTACCTGTTCACACTTGTTTCCAGTCTTTATGCTAAGCTAAGCTAACCGTCTTCTGCCTGTCCGTACAAACACGAGAGCGGTATTGATATCATAAGTATACTGTGATATTTTAACAACAGTGTGCTTCCGACTTATCTGCAAAACAACAGTTTAGATAAGGCCTCTTTCAACATGGCAGTGCCCATGAACACAAATCCAGTTCCATGATGAAATGCTTTTTCGAATTTGGTGTGAAAATCTTGACTGGTCTGGACACAGCCCTCATTCTCACACACTCCAACATCTTTGGTAAAACTGAAACAGTGACTGTATGACAGGCCTTATCACCCAGCAACACTGCCTGACCTTTCTAATGCTCTTGTGGCTGACTGGGAGCAAATCCCGCAAGCCAGATTACAAAACCTTGTGGTTTTGAAATTAGATGTCCAACACTCCCATGAAGGTGTTGTTTTAACAAGAGGTTTCATTTAGAATATTCCAGTATGTTGCAGGAGCAAACCTGGTGTAAGCCAAACTTCACTTGATCAGAGTGTGCTGCTGTCGAGCAAATTTGGCATTCAGACATCTGACTGCCGTTCAGAAAATAAGTGATGAGTGATCACAAGGCTTAGCAAGCCTGACAACTCAGCTTTAAAGATAAAGTAGTGGGGGAAAAATCTTCCCTAAGCACATGTTCTCAAGTCTTTATTCAAATGCCTTAATTTCCACATCATAATATTTCATAGCTTTAAAAGGATCCTGGCATCTCAGTGAGTGGCAGAATGGGGAGTGCTGTTTGCTAGTACAATATGTCAGACCAATGACCATTCCTTAGTCAGTGCACATTTTGAAGGTTATTAGAAAAACTCTTGCGATATCAGGGTTCATTTTAGATCGGGGATTTTTTTTCCATTAGCGATCTTATCAGTGTTTGTCTGTCCGAGCTTGTCTGTACTTATCTCTGGCAGATATCTATACATGGATGCACTGGCCATCATATCCTCTGCCAGACAGTCCCAACCAAAAGTCACTGATAATGTAGAGATGCTGCTGACCTTTGTTTGATTCTGTGTTGACATCACAAACAGCTGGATCAGATTAGCGTTTCACCTGGCCTAATTGTTCCTGGCAACCACAAAAACTGAGATTATCTCAAGCCTGTTTGTTCTGGAAACATTTTATCTGCTGGCTGCAAACTCTGCTGCCTTGCCAACATGACTTCATTAAATGTCTCTCAGAAAAGAAACTTGTTTGACCTAGGAGACAAGCGTAAACTCTTCTGTTGGGCTGTGATTGTTCTGTAATGTAATCAGTGTTGGGGAACAGTGAGCTAGTTGTTTACACCCCTAGTATATAGGTATAAATGATGGATCAGTAAGTGAGCACTGGTTCTGATAGAAAACATTAAGGTTGTTATTAATTTTACCATGTACCAGTGATATGATATGGGAGTCTTTTGCCCTACTGGTAGGTGGTGTTTGCCCCTACTGAAACATATTTGTTGTTGTGCTGACAACTGAATATGCCCTTCAAATGGGATGATATGGTTGGTGTTTGCTAAAAAATGATCAAAACTGGTCTGGCTCCATAATGCGAAAGGCAAAATGATTTGTTAAGGAAAGGGTCGTTAAAGTGTTTTACTGCATCTTGAGATAAAATGAAAAGGTATTATAAAAATATATGCAAAACAGAAGGGGAAATATGTGTAATAGGAGATAGAGTCAATTTTGCTACTGTTTTTCTGACTAAATCTTTCTTTGAATTTGTCAAAATCTATTTTTGTCTGCAAGCAATTAACAACTGAGTTAAAGGTCATAGAAAAAGTTGTTAAACTAATGAACCCTACACTTTGTGGAAGAATTTTTCACTTATTAAATCACCTTATAGGTCCAAAAGTATAAAAGGTAGACACAGACACAGAGAGGCAGTGGCAGACCTTCAATAAAAGTTTCACTAAAGCTCTCTGTGGGCTCAATTATTGCCCACTTGAAGAGCAGCACAAAGAATCCAATTAGCTCTCTAACTTGACACTTGTGCTTCTCAGATGCGCTTCAGGCTGGAAACTGGATACAACTGCTAATGACTCCACTTGTTTCACTGAGATCTGAGCATAGGACGATGTGACAGAAACAACACTTCTCTTCTACACTGTCATTGCTCACTATTCTAATAACCTCTTCTTCAGATAACAGGGAAACACACACAGATGACACACAAACACACAAGCTAAGGCTATACATTATTATGCGCTTCTTTTAGCCCTGGGTTGTATTATTTTTCATCATTTCCTTAGAGCACTCTGCGATCACCCTCTTAGTTAAAATGAATTAATAATTTAACATGATGCATTCAAAGCTGCAATTATGGCATAATGACAAGTCATCAATTCATCAACAAGAAAAGCAGATTTTATTTCAAACTAACTGTTGCCTTAACACACAGCAAAGAAATACTTATACACAGGTCCCAACCTAATGATGTGCATCTACAGCTAGCCAGTGTGAATGTGGATGTATTTCTCTAAAGCACGTTATTGACACCTGCTGGCCAGAAAAATGACTTTGGTTTATGTTTGGCTTGTCTGAGACAAAACTAAACCTAACTAACAATACCACAATATAGAAATACTCAATACAAGTACCATACATTCATAATTTTACTTAGGAAAAACTGGTAAAGTATTAGTATAAAAATAAAATCAAAATAGTTTGTTTTGTGTATTTGTATAACAGCCCATCTCATGAATTTAAAACTATGTTAGGCTATACATACTATGGCATGTGGCATTGAGCCATGCTATATATTTATCACTGTAAGATCAACATTAAATAGCTCAATGCTGTCTCCATTCTGTCTTCATCATCTACAGGCAAGTGTCCAGCTGCCAAGTCTGATAAACAAAAGTTTGTTTCTTCTTGACTCTTGTTTTTATTACTGTGCTCTGAATAAGCCATTATAGGTCCATACATTCATAACAGTGGCTTTCTATTCCTAATTAGGAGAATAATTTACTCTTGTTCTGGCTCCCCCTCCCTGACAGGCTCATCTTTCTGTATACAGCACACAGGAAAGGGAATGGATCATGTGTGGGTGTGCATGTGTAACCATCTCCTAGCTATACACACATACTCCTCCCATCTATTCCCTTTATATCCAGGGTGTTCTAATGTAATGACTCTTCATAGTGCAGCTCACCAAAAGGGAAGAGAGGTTCCTCCCCGCAGTTCAAGCAATTTGGATCAAAATATGTCACAAAATGTCACGCTTTGCCCTCTACCCACACTCAGGGACAGGGACATTAGTATTGATTGTCCCCTGGTCTGCCCTGCATTAATTGAACAAAAGCATGGGTGGGGGGATTTCATGTCAAATTCTACTTAATATGACTTTCTTTTCATCAAAATATATAATTAAAATATTATGTTCATTATGATTCCAGCACATTTCAGGACACATTATTGCTGCTTCCAGTGAGAATTGATTGTACACTGAGTATTTCACTTATGTTACTTTAAACATAAGTGAAATACTTTTGGTCTTCCATATTGCTGCATAAAATAATGGAACTACAATTTCCAGAATACCACAGGGGATTTTATTTCTTTTGTTACTTTAATTGAGAATTTGGTTGTTGTTGTTACTTTAGACCTTTACTGACCTACATTTCAGAAGGAAATATTGTACACTACATTTATCTGAGAATGACACAGTGGTAAAAGAAGTATTTAAATCTTTTATATAAATCAAATTAAAACATTTATTAGGATTCCAGCATGCTTGAAGGCATTTTAATGCTGCTTTGAAGTCATTCTTGATTCATTACGGTTGTAAAATCATAAAACTACAATTCCCAGAATGCAACGGGCGTATTTTAATCCAACCATTGCACTGTTCCGGGTTGACCATGTACTGCCATCGTCCGGCTGTCGTAGTAAATGCAAGAAAACGTGTCCATCGACACACATAACCATGCACGCAGCTCATACCGGACCAGCACCAACAGAAATGTAGAGATGGATTAGAAAATTATGTGCCTCGACTGTCATCATCAACATGTTCCCGGGAGTTTTCTATGCACTGCTGGCAGGTTTCCTCGGGGCCGTGGCCTCGTCTTCGGCCAAACTATCCCTGGGAGCCGACTATCTGAAGGGAGTCTGTGAAACCGGACTCCGGACGTGGGGCGAGCAGCGGAAATTTAGACAAGCGGACGAAACAACTGCCTGTGACCGGGTGAGGCATAGCCACAGTCAACTTTAACACAGTGAGGGTGGCTGCGAATAATGCAGTAATACACGCCTGCAAGCGGGGTGATTTCTCACGGAAGAAGTTGAGGGTTGTCCCCGCCTCTCCTCTCCTCCCTGGCTCCCTCAGCATCAGCAGCATCACACGGGGGAGCCCATGCAGCCGTGTTCTCGTGCTGTGTCCGCGTGCTAAATGACATTGCGGCTCGTGACAGTGTGTATGTCTGTTATCGCGGTATTTTATAAGCTTGGTAGTGATTACGTGGATTTGTTGGCGCGGAGAAAGGCGGGCTTCTTATTGCATGACCTTCACACATTTTTGCTGCTGGCGGTGACGTCAGAAACATCTGCAGGCAGCTGACTGAAGCCTTAAGTAGTGGAAATGTCAAGTGTGATTTTTGATCTGAAGGAGAATTAAAATAGCAGTCAGGTTTGCAGGTGGATGCAAGACAATGCTTTTAAGATGCACTATCGGGTTCTGCATCAAATCAGCAACAGGGCAAAGGGGGGAAGTGTAGGGGCCCCGAAAGCCCCAGGTTTGCTACATAATATAATTTGGGTCTGCAAAATTTAAACTAGACACTGTCTTTTCTGTAGGAAAAGTCAAGATTTTAAGTCATTATGGGACATCTACAAAATATGACCATCTTGGAGTCTTCATTTCAATTCAGTTTCAATTTAATTAACGTTTCATATACATATATATTTTTTTTTTACTTCTGTCATAGGGTTAAACAGTCAAGTCCACACAATCAGTTTTTAGTAAATAAAAGGGTTTCTGTTTTTCAGCTCCATATTCCTCTGAGGCTGCTGTGTGGTGGCCTGCTTTTCACCTGCAATGCTGTGATGTGGACCTTCCTTGCAAAAGCACTCAGGTACTTTTCTTCCTCCACCCGCACCACTGTGACCACCACCGCCTCCAACTTCATATCTTCTGTAAGTAGCAACCTCCTTCACAGGTCTTCCTACTCTACATATTTTGTCATATTATTATATATAATATTATTATTATTATCCTGATTATTATTATAGCATTGCTACTAAGTTACAGTGATTTCAGGGTGACCTTACATCCTGTCTTCTTTATATGAGCTGCTTTATTTTAGAAACTAGGCTGTACTATATTCAGAAATAACTTGGTGCAATGATTTAGGCTTCTTCTTGTTGGATGTATCCTATCCTATTTAAATTGAACTGTAAAGATAAATTTCCTATGACTGAGAAACCCTGTTTTTTTTCTCGTTGCAGGCGTTCCTGGGCCAGTTGATTTTTGGTGAAGCCCAGATAACGCTGTGGTGGGTTGGCATCTCTCTGACCTTCTCTGGCCTGCTGGTACTCCAGAGGGTTTCACCACAGGATAGGCAACCGAATGCGGTCACAAGGAAGGACAAATAATATGTCTTGTCTCCACTAGGTCAGGTCAGCAAGGCTCCATAGGGTGTGGTTTGGTTGGCGTCTCCTCTGATTTTACTTCTCACCAAAGAAAACTGAAATCTTAAAAGTGTATTTGGTAGAACTTATTTTACAAAAGTATTGAATTCTCTTTCTGCACTACGGCAAAAGAACCAATGTTGTTGATTAGACTAAATAATTTGGAAACTGTGACCATTCATCCTTCAGTTTTATGCTTGTGCAAACTGTGAAACCTGATTGACTCAGCCTTGTTCTAAAATCAGAGGGCATGTCGGCCGGTACAGTCTGACTAGTGGAGACAAGCTAATGATGCCTACGTCCAGATTCGTAGATGCTCAAAAGTCATTTATGCCTATAGGCTTTCAATGAAGCAAAAATGATACTAGCTTTACTTTATGTTTGGGGAAGATGTTTAATCAACAACAGCACAGCTCATGAGCGAACAAAACAGATGAAGGAAGGGAAGACACAAAAAAAGAGTTTGGGAAATATGCTCATTTGCTTCGTTGCTGAGAGTTCGATGAGAACATCAATACCAGTCTCATGTCTGGAGGGTAAATTTGAAGTAAATGTCATGTTTGAGCCAGTATCTGTTAGCACAGTGTAAACAGTTATCCTGGGTCTGTCAGAAGGAAACAAACTCCACCTATAAACAAATCCAAATGTCACTAATGAACACATTATATCTTTTTTCAGAATCTGCAGAAAAACAAAAATGTAAAATGACAATTTGTGATTTAAGAGGGGTGTTTCTTTGACACTTTGGCCTCCAACAACAAGTCTCTGAGAAGTCATTATTCTGGACCTAGAAAAATATAACATCCCGTAAGACCACTATTTATCGTTTTTATTCTTTGGCTTTCCCAGCTCGTTGTGCTAAGCTAACGAGCTACTGACTGTAGCTTCATATTTAGTGTACAGACATGAGAGTAAGATCAGTCTTCTCATTTAACACTACACAGGAAAACGAAGAAGCTTATTTCCCAAAATGTCAACTTGCTCCTTTTGGGCTATGTTCAAAAGTAATGGACAAATAGAATCATTTGACATGTGTGTGGTTTTATCATAATCAACCTGTGTTGTTGTCATGTATTGCAGGTCAAAGCTTTTGTAATTTTCACATTCCTTAAAGGTAGGGTTGGCAATCCTGGAAAAACCAGTAAGAGGAAGGTCAATTTTTAAAGTAGTCAGTCCTATCTATACAGTTAGAGCTGACTACTGTTGGTGTTTTCCCCACCCATGGCTGCATGTAAAAGGAGTCTGTTCCATCCGGCGGTCTTCTCGCTCTCATATTACATGCATGTAGCAACTTCTGGCATGAACAACAATATTACCTATAAGGCTGTATGTCCTAAAGGGGAAGACCTGCTGCCACACATGACAGATTTTATTCTTTATGTTGTCAGTGCATTGCAAGTGGGATGAAATGAGAATTTCAAGATAAGCAACAAAAAAATGCTTCTGAAAAGAATCGCCAACCCTACATTTAAGTTGCTCTGACACCCATTGCATTTTCTGTATGCACAAGGCAATGTTATAAGTACAACATTTAGCTAATGAGGTGCACTTCCACTAGTAATAATCCTACTAATGTAGCGCTGAAAGGCTCATGCCTAATAAGAAGTTGCTCTCTGTCTGGGTTTTTCTTTTTCTTTATTGCTGAAACCTTAACCTCAAGATCTGAGCATGACACAGTTTGAGTCATAGGCAGTTGGTCTTCCATTTCATGATAGATGTGTACGTGCTCTTACCAAGGTCTTGAACTCAAATATCTCACACCAGAGCATCCTGGAGCACCATTTCACCTCAGAGTGATGTCCCTGTGAGCTGCTTCATTTTATTAAACTTGTGGCCAAATTGTCTTTCCAGTATCAGAGACATCATGCAGCCTGATTGCCTGTTGACCTGGATGTGCCCTGCATTTGCAATCTCATATTAATCTCTCACCTCTTGGGGTTTCATAGACACCTGGCTTCATTACAAGCTTCCTTTTACTTCCCAGGAGTTGTCAGCCAGAGTGCAATAAAGTTATACTTCCTCTATATTTCATAACACTGTGATATGTGTAACAGCATGGGAATTTGAAGCATTAATAACTGAGCAAAAAAAAAAAAAAACTGGCAATAAATGCTACTAAAGGGACATTTCTGTTGCCATAAATCAGATGAGTAAATATGCTGTAGTATACAGGGACATGGCTGAGCATAATATTAAAGGCTGCTTTATAGAACAGATTACATTCTGCTGTTGTTATGGTACATATCCTAATAAAAATGCATAATGGTAGCTGTGGCACCTGTCTGTAATATCACACAGCAGCAACACAAAGATACTCTAGACGTCATTCCAGCTGCTGCTGCTGCTGCTGTGCAGGTTTGGCATCATGTAATTATATGCATCCCTGTCAATGTGACTGCAGTGACAATGTGATCTTAAGGCTTTCATATTAAAGGTTGGCTTAGGCATGTTTTACAGCAGGGCTGAACTCACCATGCAGGGCTTTTCACCACTCGCATCCATGCGCATGCAGAGACAGCAGAAGTGATTTCACTTGTTTTTGCTGCCATGTTTTGGGCTCTTGGGTGTGTTGCATTACATGAAAGAATAGTTTGACATTCTGGGAAAAAAACCATATTAGCTTTCTTGCCAAGATTTGGATAACACCCCATGGTGAGCTAAGCTAATCGACTCTGGCTCCAGATACAAATGCATACTCAGAGGTATGAGAATGGTATCGATCTCTTTGAGCTCTCAACAAGAAAATTAATACATGCACTTTCAAAATATGTTAAAGAAAACTTTAATATCTGTAATGTTTGCTTTTGATTCTAAAAATATTTTAGTGCCTGGCTTTTTTCCACTTAACAGCCTGATATGAGGGTAAACCATCTATTTGTGAACCCACTCTCACTGTAACATAACCAGTCAGAGCTTTTGCAGTGGCTGCATTTCTAGCTCTGAGACAGCAGCATGCCGTGTGCACACAAACTGTAGATGTGGTTGTACAGAGATTAGAAAACCACTGAAATATAGTCTTGACAAGGTCTGTCACACTGCACACTGACAAGTCAATGTGCTGCAATGGAAAAACAAAAGTATCAGGAATCATTACATTTTAGAACTCTAAATATGAATGTGTGCTGTTGTTAATTTGCTGGTGCTCTGTAACCTCAGTCCAGAGGCTGCTGTACTGACAAAATTCACATTGTGTTCAATGTTCTAACCAAATCAAGAGTGTGATTAGAAGGAGAGACTCTGCCCTGATATAAACCATACATGTCTTTCAGATGATGTGAAACAAACATTTGTAAATGTGTAAATATATTCTGTTAACAGGAAACACCTAAAGGGATGTGTCATCTCCACTGAGAGAAGAAACACTACTAAATTATGAAATAAACATCTCATCTGATGAACAAGAGTCTCTTGTCTTCATCCCTCAGATAAGGTTGGCTGTGGGAAACACATCTGTTCATCTGCATTAATGTTAGGCTTAAAACAGAACAGATGTGAAACTATTCTGCATCCAGGTAAATGTAATTAAATGAGAAAATCAGAGTTTCTGGCAGTAATGAAGGATTTTATACTCATTTAGCTCAATGTCCTTTCTTTGTATCCAACAACATGTCTAATGAAGAGCATACTTACTGTAGTTCATGGCGCTGGATGTAATGTTAGCCTTGAGCTTGTCTACACCTACTGACACAGCGCACGTTATGCTCCATTAGACCCGTTCCCTTCCTTTAATTACATCTGGTAAAAACAGGAAACGAAACTAGAGAATTGCATTTTCTGAGGAAAATACGTATAGATGCTGAGTGCTGAAAGATTGCCCTGAAAATGCTGAACATTTTGACACCTGAATGGTTTTGCTAGCTGAAAGTAAGCTGAAGTAGAATTTTCCCATTCATTTGAATGGGGTGAGGTTTTCAAAATAAAGCTGAATATTTTAAAATGTATGAAGTTTAGAAAACTTCTGAAGAGAAGCATGTATGTCCTTGAGGAACTGAACATTTTGATATCTGAAATAGCTGAAAGTATGTTGAAGCAAAAGCATCCCATTCATTTGAATGGGGTGAGATTTTCAAAATAAAGGTAAATATTTAAAAAGTATTAAGTTTAGAAAACTTCTGAAAAGAAGCATGAATGTCCTTGAGGAGCTGAACATTTTGACAGTTGAAAGTATGCTGAAGTAAAATTATCCCACTCATTTGAATGGCGAGAATTTTCCCATTCATTCGAATGGGGCAAGACTTTCAGAATAAAGCTAAATATTTTAAAAGTATGAAGTTTAGAAAACTTCTGAAGAGAAGCATAAATGTCCTTGAAGAGCTGAACATATTGATTGCTGAAATTATGCTGAAGTAGAATTGTCCCATTCATTTGAATGGGGCAAGATTTATAATTTGTCCTGTGTCTCCTTTGCTGATTCAGAAGGTCCACCATATCTGAGTCGCCCATAAAAGCAAGTTTTTGCAGCAGAACTGGTCTGATGTTGCGTCTATGGATAACGACACCACACCGGTGTTTTTCCTCCATTTCCAGAGCTCCAAAAGCCGTCCGGCAGCAAGCCCCATCCCCTGACGAGTGAGAGGAGCACAACATAGTGAGGTAAGCTTAGCATTTCACTCCACGTATCTATGTGGAAGCTGTTCATCAGTAAAGCCTCTTAATGACGGTTTGTTCTCTGCGTTTCACAGATGACTTCATAAAGGATGAAGACGTGAAGCTGCGCCCACTGAAGATGCCTTCAGAGGCTCAAACAGGTGAAGGACAAAACCTTTCTTATTTAAATGTCATACACTCAGCAGCCACTTTATTAGTACACCTGTCAATGCAACACTTCCACCTGAACATGAGTTTATGAAGCTGAAAATGTATAAAATCAGTTATATCTGAATCAAAGGTGGTGGTGTACTGGACTACATGATATTGAGGAGTGTTCCTAACACTCTTATGTACATATGTAGCCTGGTACAACACCACCTTTAATTAGGACTTCAGCCATTTAATTTATATGTTTGACAATTTCCGATCTTTTGAGCTTCATAAACACAGATGTGGAAGTGTTGCATTTAGTTGTACTTAATGTATTGGCTGGTTAGTTTATTCCCATAGCTGAGTTGTGTTTATACAATCAATGTATACCCATGTAAGCTGGTACAACACCACTTTTTACTAGGAGTTCTATAATTTGTACTAAATGAGTGGCTGTGAGTGTTTATATGCACTTCAACAATTTATAGTTAGTTTAGTGAGTATTTATTCCCATAGCTGGGTTATGGTTTCCTATTCATGCTGTGTCCTTTGCAGAGATGGCTGCTGTCTTGAAAGACTGACTGAGGAAGTTGCCGCTGTCCAGTTTCATACTCCAGATGGACACATGACATCACACAAGGAGCTTCAGGACTGTAGAGAAGAAGTAAAACAAGTGTCAGTGTGAAAGAAACACTCCATGCCATAAACTAATAAAGATTAAATAAATCAATGGTCACAATCTGTGCCCGTAAGGAGGATGCACTTGTGTTGGTCAAGCAGCCACGGAGGACATCACAGGAGGCTCTTGAAGACTTGTAGGACTGAGGAAATGAAACAACTGTAAGTGGAAGATTCATTCCATGTCAACATTATATAAATAAATGAATTCTACGTCAAATGAGTCTGACACTTCTTCCAAATTGTGGCAGCAGGTCCTTGCAGACATCCAGTCCTATGCTGTAGGCAGAAACAAACAAGAGTTCATTTTAAATTCCAGTACATTGATGCATGCTTTACAATAAGGTTCTAACACAAAGTAGGTTCTGGCACATGCAGGGATACTGGGAAATGTTTAACAAGAATGGCAACAGAAGTGGGGTAGTGAAACTAAGGGAAGGAATCTACTGTATATAGGATACAGAAGCACAGTGAGGAGAGAACAAGTAATAATTAGTAGAACATAACTGGACACAGTAACCTTAATAGTACACTGTCTGTTATTGGAAAACACCCTACAGGCTATTGTGATGTTTGTCAAGAATCAAAAGCAATAAATCATCATTCATGCAGGAAATATTCAGTGGAAGGGGGTAGGTGTGTTTACTGTGTTTCAAATATGGCTGAGTAGGAATACGTTTTGAGAGTGCAGTAGAATTCGAGAGGAGTGGAAGAGGGAGGAGAGTGTTTTTAGATTACTTGAAGGTAACATGGCTAATAGACAGAATTTTGGTTAATGGGACAGTGACGGCGACTACGGACACAAGATGGCAATAATACAACACTGGGATGCCAAACACCGCAAACAGCAGAAAAGAAGACGCACTCAGGTTGGTGGAGTTAGAAAATTGTAGAAAATCACAGTAAAGTTTGCGTGTACTGTGTTCTGTACGTATCCAGCACGCAGGTGCTTC